ATAAATTCTTATGCAGTCTCTCTATGCATAAAGCACAAATAATTCTAAATCTCAGGGGACTGTAAAAATGCAACTGGCCATTTGTGTGGAGAATTTCTTCATTTACACAATTTATTATTATTGTTTTATTTTATAGTTATTATTTTTTTACAAGGCACAATCACCAACTCTGAAAAAAATATTTCTGCAAAACTGTTGTTTAAATGGGTCAAATTTAAACAGACAAATTAAATGTATTGATGTTTAATTTAAGTTAATGTTTATTACCTTTATTTGTTTGTTTAAATTCAGCCCAAATAAATTGTTTTCAAACACTTACCTAAAAAAAATGTAAATCTAATGAATCATCTTTGAATCATTTTTTTCAGTCAATAAACATAAAGAAACCATCGTTTACTCCATATTGTTAGTTCCTCTAGTTAGAACTATCCATAATTCAACATTAATAAGAGTTTTGTAAAGATGTACCACAGGAAAATCATCATGGAAACCTTTGTTTGCACTCCAAAAATGACATTTGCCAACATCTACTTATTTAAAATGAGCTGAAACAACACAATTCTTTCAGTTTTTTGGGCGTTTCTGTGTAGAGTTTGAATGCTCTCCCCGTGCTCGCGTGGGTTTCCTCTGGGTGCTCCGGTTTCCCCCACAGTTCAAAGACATGCGCTATAGGTGAATTGAGTAAACTAAATTGGCCGTTGTGTATGTGTGTGAATGAGTGTGTATGGATGTTTCCCAGTGGTGGGTAGCAGCTGGAAGGGCATTCACTGAGTAAAATATGCTGGATAAGTTGGTGGTTTTTTCCACTGTGACGACCCCTCATGAATAATGGATCTAAGCTGAAGCAAAAGGAATGAATGATTCCTTCATGTTGCCCTAATTCCAATCGATTGTGTGGAACGCAATATTATTTATGCAGTGTACCTTGTATTTTCAGCCTCTTTTAAAAATTACCCACAATGCATTATTCAGCAGCGTTTATTAGGGCTGTGCAATTAATTGAAAATCAGATTTCGATTTTGGCTTTTAATGATTATAAAAACCATTAATCGAGATAAACGATTATTCCATCGCGTACCGCCCCCTTTCCTGTTGTTCACGTGTGAAAACTCTTTGCCTCTGCAAAGCTCAGTTGTTCCATGTGAAAATGACTAAAAGCATGTGGTGCAATGTCACTTTTGCAGCTTGGGATGCGCATCATTCATATTTTTTAAAGCGCAAAAGAGCACGTGCTGTTGTGTGTGTGCGCGCCGTGCTTAGCCTCTGACAGGTACCGTGTGTGTGTTTGCGCGCGCGCCGCGCTTAGCCTCAGACAGCAGAGCACACACACATCTAACGTGATCTTAATTTGAGCGCTTTAATGGTCAAATACATGCACATTTGTGTCAGAGCGCGGTGTTTAGTGATTATTCATATTAACCCTCATTTGTGTAATAAACTAACAAGTTGAGAATCAAAAGACACAAGAAAGAGAAACCATATCAGAGCCGCACTATTCTTAAAGTGAGCGTGCGGTATTCCTGCTGCTGCCGACTGTTTTTATTATTAATCAATAATAAAATGAAAAAAACAGTGAAGATGTTTAAAGCACAGTTTAAACAACTGATTTAATAACTCCTTTCTAATAACTGATTTTTTTAATCATTGCTATGACAGTGCATTATATTTTACTAGATGTTTTTCAAGATACTAGTATTCAGCTTAAAGTGACATTCAAAGACTTAATTGGGGTAAATGGACAAGTCATTGTATAACAGTAGTTTCTTCTGCAGACAATCAAACATATATATTGCTTATAGGGGCTAATAATATCGAGCTATTAAAATGGGTTTCAAAATATTCAAAACTGCTTTTATAATAGCTGAAATAAAACAAATAAACCTTTCTCCAGAAGAAAAAAATATTATAGGAAATACTGTAAAAAAAAAAACAAACAAAAAAACCTCTGTTAAACATAGTTTGGGAAATATTTATATATACAAATAAATTCACAGGAGGACGAATAATTTGGACTTCAACTGATAATCGTTTTGATTAATCGTGATTACAATTATGACCAAAATAACCGTGATTATGATTTTTCCCATAATCGAGCAGCCCTAGCGTTTATTAAAATTCGAACTCTTCTGGAGATCCTTCATTTACTCCATTTTTTTTCCACTCTCATCATACCTAATTCAGAATTATAGGAAAACCTTTGTTTATCTTATATTTTCATTTTCTCTGTACTAAAAATGACCCACAATGCAGCATTCAAAATGTTATACAGAGGTGATTGGAATTCTTCATAAACTTCACATCTCCACGATGCATTTTCCAGTCCGAAAAGGAAGGATTGATTCTGTAGTGTAGCCCCTTCAGTGTTTCTCCTCCTGTTAGTCTCATGACTAAAGACACATGACCACACACTCGCCTCATACAACAGCACTTTGTGTGTCCCTGAGGCCAATATGTGTGCCGTAAGTCCACGCGCTGGTTGAAGACACTTTTAAAGGGATAGTTCACCCAAAAATTAAAATCCTACCATCATTTACTTCTCATTCACTCTTTACTTGTGTCAGCCCTGTATGAGTTTCTTGAGTTCTATTGAACACAAAAGAAGACATGTTGGAAATTCATAGACTTCCATAGTATTTATTTTCCTACTATGGATATCAATTGGCGTTCCAGCATTCTTCTGAATATTTTTTTTTGTGTTGAACAGGTAACAAAAACTCAAAGGTTTGTCGTTAATGAGTAAATATTTGTTTTTTGGGTGAACTATCCCTTTAATGAGTTACATTTCATAATCTTTCAATAACTAGCCATGAGATATAGCGGTTTGTTGGCTCTGTTAGTCATTCATTGATTCTACGCACATAACTGGATGAACTGACCTAGTTTGGAGGACGGGTATTTTTATTTTCCCTTTTTATTTTTGGATTTCAACAGTGAACCTTTGATTGTGGGTTATATTTATGATCCGATGTGAAAACAAGTCGTTCAGTTTGGGTTGTGCCATTTATCGTCTACGGCAAAAAAATATGTTTGTTTATTTTATGTATTGTAGTGTACTTGTGGTTTGATTAATATTTTGAATGACTTGATTTGATTAGCATTTTAGTTAAAGTGTATATGTTATGACTTTGTAATTTTAATAGATTTTTTTACGTTTGCTTTTTTATTTATGCCGTAAAAGTTCTTATTTTATATACCAATATTTGCTTTTTAGTTTAAGAAATTGTTATTTTTATTATTATAACTTTCCTCATAAACTTTCTATTTTCCATTATGTTCTCATTTGCAAAATTACACATGACTACCAAATACAGAAAATTAACAGAAATATTAAAATAATAGTGTCTATGAATTGAAATGCATATTAAAAAATAAATGTAACTGAAAATCCCCATAAACTTTCATTAAAGCGCTGTCTGGACATTCTGCTAAGTACCTCTTTTTGTGTTTTTAAGGGAAAATGTTTCATATTAATTTAAATGCATATTAAATAATACATGTAAATGTGGCAAACAGAAAATCTTCATAAACGCTCATTATGGAGCAGTTTGGACATTCTGCTAAATATTTCTTTTTGTGTTTTTAAAGGAAAAATATTTCATATGAATTTAAATGCATATTTTTAATAATAAATGTAGGTAATGAGAATAAAAATCTCCATAAACTTTTTTTAGGGAGCAGACATTAGACATTCTGCTAAATATTTATTTTTGTGTTTTTAAGGGGAAAATATTTCATATGAATTCAAATGCACATTGAATAATAAATATACATGTTGTAAATAAAAAATGTTCATAAACTTATTAAGGTGCAGCTTGGACATTCTGCTAAATATCTCTGTGTTTTTAGGGGAAAATATTTCATATGAACTTCAATGCATATTAAATAATTCATGTTAATAATGTAAATAAAAATTTTGATAAACTTTTACTTAGGAGGAGCTTGGACATTCTGCTAAATATGTCTTTTTGTGTTTTTAAGGGGAAATATTTCAGTTTAAATGCATATTAAATAAATATTTAAATGTAAAAAATATTTAAATATTTCAATCTAAATTCATATTAAATAATAAATGTGAATGTTGTAAATAAAAATCCCTACAAACTTTCATTACAGAGCAGCTTGGACATTCTGTTAAATAAAAATTTTTTTTTATATATAATAATAATTATAATTATAATTAAATTATTTTATATATATATATGTATGTATTGTATTGTATTGTATTGTATTTTTTAGAGAAACATAAATTTCAATGCACGTTGATTAATAAATGTAAATGATGTTAATAAAAAAATCTAAAAACTTTCAATACGGCGCTGTCTGGACATTTTGTCATAGTTGCCATAATGCATATTGAATAATAAATGTAAGTAATGTGAATAAAAATCCCTATGAAATCATTACGGAGCAACTTGGACATTCTGCTAAATATCTCTTTTTGTGTTTGTAAGGGAAAAATGTTTCATATGAATTTAAATGCATATTGAATAATAAATGTAAATAATCTAAAATAAAAATCTCTAAACTTTCGTTATGGATACTTGGACATTCTGTTAAATATCTCTTTTTGTGGTTTTAATTATTTCATATGAATTTAAATGCATACTGAATAATAAATGTAAAAAAATTCCCATAAACTTTCATTACAGAGCAGCTTGGACATTCTGCTAAATATCTTTTGTTCGTTTTAAAAGGAAAAATATTGATTTACTATAAAATAATATAAACCTATATCTTTTATATATGCTAATTATGCTAGATGCTGACATCATCGTCAAAATATTGTCTTGATGAATCTGCGTATCAATGTGAGATGTAGCAAAATCTGGCTCTGCTGAAGTGTTAATTGCCACACATCGTTTCTCGTTAAGCTCAGGCGGTGAATTGACAAATGCGTCTGACAACAGGAACTAAATAATGCGTCGGGCTGTTATGGAGAGCATTGTCTCTCTGTATTTTTGGCTCACTCTTTCTAACAATACTTCCTGTTCCCTCTACAGGCCAAATACATCTCTACCTGCATCGATGAGATCAAACAAGAACTCAAACAGGACAACATCGCCGTTAAAGCCAACGCCGTCTGCAAGCTCACCTACGTAAGGCTGACAGTCGCATCATTCAGATTTCTTTTTTCTTTTGAGCTCAAGCCGTCACTTATTTGCTTTGTGTTCTGCTTCTAACAGTTGCAGATGCTCGGCTATGATGTGAGCTGGGCTGCTTTCAACATTGTGGAGGTCATGAGCTCCTCCAAATTCACTTATAAGGTGAGAGGAGGCGTCAGAATCAATGTTTTATATGTCTGTATGTGTGTGTTTTGGTGTTATTTATATACTAGTTTAAGATTTATTCATATTTTTTTTAATTTAGTTTTGTTTTTGTCATTTTTTAAAAATATATTTTTTTACGTTTTTATTGATTTAATTTTTACACATTTGTACTTTTTTTTTTTTTTTTTTTTGTATTTTACTTTTTGTTTTTATTTTAAATTAGTTATAATCAGGGCTTGACATTAATACCTGCCAAATGCAGGTAGATTTCAGGGTTAGGCAGACAATCCTACTAGCCACTCTGGCTGATGGAAAACAATTTTTAAGTTGTAGTTTTTTTGTTTGTTTGTTTTTTTATAAGCAGGGTTCGACTGTAAGGATAGACCAATATTTGTGCAAATGTGATCTTAGAGTGCTTTCACACGTAGACTTTTGTTTTGGAACCTGTCTCGTTTGCCCAATTAGCGTGGTTTGTTTGGCATATGTGAAACCAGCAATCGCACTCGGCTCCGCACCAAATCAATCAGTCTGAGATTGTCTGAATGAGGTGGTCGATTGGAGTGAGAAAGCAAAACGATTCGAGCCCGGCTATATTACATTGTGTTATGGATATGTAATAGGCATATATAGCTATATGAAGAGAGAATTAGGAGTAGGGCAGGATGTCATTCCTACCGATAAGTGTGCGTTTCATGGTAAATAGGAAAGTGAAAGCATGCTGAACTATTAACGAGAGCTGTTTATCTGTTAGGAACATTGACCGAACTGCAGTCTAGCCAAAGGCTCTATATGAGAGAGGCTTACCTCTGATTTATATCTAGTGACGATGTCTTTGGGCGTCACTATTCAAAATTAAAAAACAACTTTCGGCTTATCATGTCTTACTGCTTATCGTCATAAATTAAAATAGGGAATCATGACAGCTGAGCGGGACTCAGTAACCGTGAAACTCTGTGCAATGTGAGGATAGTTTACTCACACAAGACTTGTTTTAGCTCTCTAGTCCATTTAGAAATGTTGCAGTGTGAAAACGAACCGCACCAAGAACAAAGAGCAACATTGTACCAATTTTAGGGTGCTTTCACATCTTAGTTCGCTGCATTTGATCCGTACTAAGAGCAATAAATGATACATTGTTGCGTTTTCTGCTATCTTTGGTCCGTTTTCACACCACACTGCTGGCTTTGATTTAAACCAGTTGAAACGAACCAAAATGCAGTCATCTGACAAAATCCACTTCTCTCATTTTCCAGATGTTGTTGAACATATTTCCTAAACTGCTTATTGATTGGTCAGAATTCACGTGCGGGAAAATGCCAATGAACTCCCTCAAGTAAACAAAACCGGCAGACACAAAATGTCGTTTTTACAATGGAGGAACGGCTGATGACTGATTGTATCCCTGCTTTAGATAAACTTTACATTTGGAGAATGAAGCCTGCTTCGGCTGAAAAAATATGTTTTAAAGCATCGCTCGTCACTTCAGGAGGAGGCGTAAATTAATTTAGCTTAAATGCGACATGGTCATCTTGCGGAAATATTACCAACGATCCATCAGGTAATGTTTTCCCCTCTTTCTTTCTTTCTTTCTTTCTTTCTTTCTTTCTTTCTTTCTTTCTTTCTTTCTTTCTCTCTCTCTCTGTTGGTAAAGCGCTGTCAACAAATATTTTTCCTCCATATCTCATACTGCACAGCGCACCGGCCTACGGCAGCTGGATTAGTCCAAAAGGCAAAGTACTTTTTGCAGTTGGACCTGTTTTAGTACTGATCATATTCTGACCAAAACAAACCGCTCCAGGGTTTGTTTGAAAGCGTACCGAGACCACCTCTTCAAGCAGGTCTCTGTAAATTTTTTTGGTCCGCTTTTGGTGCGCACTGGAGTACGATTGCTGCATTCTCACCTGCCCAAACGAACCGCACCAAGAGGGAAAACGAACTCTAGTACTATTTAACCAAATAAATTAACTAAATAAAGCAGGTGTGAAAGCACCCTTAATCCCAATCTCAACTCCACTTAACAAATGACTTTCTTTTCTCCTTTCCAGCGAATTGGCTACCTTGCTGCGTCCCAATGCTTTCACGAGGGCACTGATGTCATCATGCTGACGACCAATCAGATCCGCAAGGTGTGTTTTAGGCTTTATTCACCTATTTGTATGAGTCACACTGTTTGCTGTAGGAGGCTTTTATCATCTCTCTCCCCCCAGGATCTCAGCAGTCCAAACCAATATGACACCGGTGTGGCTCTGACTGGCCTCTCCTGCTTCGTGACCCCTGACCTCGCTCGTGACCTCGCCAATGACATCATGACTTTGGTACGAACAATCAAAAGTGTTTACTTTAAGCAAATATTGATGTTCAGCACATATTCTTTCTCTCTTGCAGGAGGAGAAACCAGTTTGTTCATTCTGTAGGGATCATAAATCAAACTTTAAATAATGTCTATTTTGAAAATTATGCCAGATGACATTTTTAGCCAGAAATTATTTGTTTGCACATATTAAAAATGTTTCTCCCGGAGTAATTATTGTATTTTGTATTAACTATTGTAACTATTGTATTAATCATCCATTAATTTGAGAGATTTTCATTATATTTTTTATATGTATATCTGTATGTCTTAAATACTGTCTCTAAGACAAAGATGGTGAATTATTGTCAACATTATGAAATCATATGTGAAATGTTCGCCTTTAAAAATCTGGTTTATGCTCTGAATAGTTTATCAATTGTTGCCGACATTAAATTCTAAATAAATGACTTAATTCTCACCTGAATAATTTTAGATGTCGCACACCAAGCCGTACATTCGCAAGAAGGCCGTGCTGATCATGTACAAAGTGTTTCTGAAGTACCCAGAATCCCTGCGTCCTGCTTTTCCCCGACTCAAGGAGAAGCTGGAGGATCCTGATCCTGGTAAAGATGTACAGCCACAGTTTCGGTCTGTTGAAAGTGAATATTTCAGCCTTCAATCTGAATGTTTGTTTGTGTCTCAGGTGTCCAGTCAGCGGCTGTGAACGTCATCTGTGAACTGGCTAGAAGAAATCCTAAGAACTACTTGTCGCTGGCGCCCCTGTTCTTCAAACTCATGACCTCCTCCACCAACAACTGGGTTCTCATCAAGATCATTAAGCTGGTAAGAGACTAGTGTTGCCTTGATACTGGATTTCAATACTAATAATACAACAGATGCAGGGACTCTGGACTTTTTTAAAGATGTGAAGGTCAGTTAATTTATCAGCGGTGCACTCGTATGTCAGCTTATAAATAGACTAGCTGATCTTCACAGCTTTAAAAAGCTCCAGTGTCCCTGTATCTGTTGTTACACTTAGTAAACAGCGGTGAGTTCGGTGAACTGATGACCTTCACAGCCAATCACAGTCATTTCTGTTGAGCACGTGAACACGATGTCAAATCAGCGCTGTTTAAGAAACCACTCAAATGTTAGCAAGAAATGTTTTTAAATTACAGATTGGAATCGAATTTCAGTGTCATGATAACACCATAAGAGACGAAAAGTGTGTGAGATTTGTAGTGTAACATCTTGGCGTATGAAATGATGAATTACTGGAAAAACCTTTTGAGCAGATATGATTAGGGGGTCCTGCGTCGTCCCGATTTTTAATATTTCAATATTAAATAATCAAACTCTTGGGAACAACTGTGGTCGGAACCAAAGTTCACAGGTCTGTGTTTTCTGAACACCTCTCAAGCGGTGAACTACTTCATTCTGATTGCTTGCCGCCGAACCGCGTCATATCATAGCTCATACCATAAAGTTGACTTGATTTCAACTCTCCTCGACGCCCACACTGGAGAAGACGCGCCGTGCTTTTTCTTTCCGCCGGTTCTCATAGAAAACGAATGACTACTGGCTACTTTGGCACTCTCGCCGCTTTTGGTTTGTGATCGCTCCTCAGTTTGTGAAGGCTTCTCCGCGTCGTCGCTCCACCCCGCCCCCCTTTCCCGCTCCTTAGTTTGTAATCGCTCCTAAGTTTGTGAAGGCTTCCCCGCGTTTTTACTCCATCCCACCTCCCTTCCCCGCTCCTCAATTTGTGATCGCTTCCCCGCGTTGTCCCCCTCCAAACACCCCCCCGCCCCCATCCTCAGGGAGCCCCGTCAGTGATCCCTGCAGGGGGGCCTCCGCATTTTGCGCTACACCACTGGTAATTATGTGTACAAAACAATTAAGTCCACTAATAAATTCCTGTTTTCTAGATTTATTAGTTATGGGTTTGAATAGAATGTAACTCGATTCATTTCATTCTCTAAACATCTGAGAATATTTTATTCCAAAAGTCAACTCAGTTTTTTACCATTTGAAGATAATGTCAGTTGTTTAGAACAGAGGTGCCTAAAGTAGGGTCTTTTGGTTCATCTCGTCATCCCATCTGAAAAGAGAGGGAGAATGATTGGGAGTTGATTGGTATGAATGCCTTTGACAGAGATCGTCATTAAGAATTTAACATAACCTTTTTTTTTTGTTTTCTGTTTACTTGAGGAGCTACCAAAAAAGCCAACTAAAATGAAATGTTTCATTTAAATGTTGTAAATGAATCAGAGTTAACATGTAAATACTGTCACTCGACAGACCGACTCGACTAGTGTATTTAGCATTGAACTCCTCTGTGTTATAAATAGGATTGTTAATGTTTTTACTGTAATAAGTTCAATATAAAATTCTAAAAATGATACTGCATCATTAATATATATTTAAAGCAATATTTCTAGTTATTTATAAATATTAGCACATCAGTTAGGACATTTTTTTGTAATCTGATTTGGTATATTTCACTTCGGCCCACAGCCCTCAATCAACTTTGGTTTTGACCCTTTATATGAAAGTTTGGTCACTCCTGGGTTAGAATAACAAATAATTAATATATTGTGATCGAAAATCCGAGTTATTCCACCAAATATTGACCTCTTTCATAACCTGTCTAATGTTGAAACATTGATATTGTGTTGTCTAAATAGTAATGTCTTTTTGGGGGGTCGTTTTATGCTAAATAAATGACAACATTTTTATTTAGAAATTTCATCAGCAAAAATGGTAAAAAGCTAAATTTTTTTGCAAGCATGTGTAGATCAGAAGAAGCCTAACTGTATGGTTTATGCATAACAGTAGCCTGCAAAAATATATTAAAATCCATTTTACGTAAAGTGTAATACAGGTACAGTTTATTAAGTATAATCCAGTACAACAGGTAAAGCACATTCTATTGGACTGTCCTGCTTTTACTGACTGCAGAAGGCTTTTATCATGGAAGGAGATATTCATTAAATTGTCTCCAGGAAGTAAAAATTTAAATTTTAATCATATATTAAGGTTAAGAATCTAAATTTGTTTGTGGTTTTTATTGCATATTTATTATTGCAGTGTTTTTGCTACGAAAATTCATTGTTGCTGTCATGGCTTTAAATAAAAATATACTATGTGTGTACAGCTGGTTCTTAAACCAAGGTTTAGTGTAATTTTAAAGTCTTTAGAATTGTATCAAATATGATCCAGTAGGCTTTAAATGTGTTATTCTGACCCTCAATATCCACTTTCTCTCAGATTTTAACTTCAATTTTCATGAAAGTTGTCTAAAATGAACCTTTTTTTCCATTTCTTTAATCATATGTTCATCTTTCAGTTTGGTGCTCTCACTCCTTTGGAGCCTCGTTTGGGAAAGAAGCTGATTGAGCCCCTGACAAACCTCATCCACAGGTAATGGTGATGCTAAAACACCAACACTGACAGGAATATTAGGGTTAAATATAATATATGTCTTTCATTTTATTCACTCTCTCAGTACCTCGGCCATGTCGCTTCTCTATGAGTGCGTCAACACAGTTATAGCAGGTCAGTATTTCTGGTGCCGTGACCCGGTGTTGTATTCACTTTTTAGAACATTGGCACTGATGTCTGTTCTCTCTCCTGTTTTACTCAGTGCTGATCTCGCTGTCTTCTGGGATGCCCAATCACAGTGCAAGCATACAGGTGGGCTTTTGGCACATTACTTGGTGTAACCGGCTGATTTATTTTAATGTTTTTTGAGGCCCTTTTTATATACATTTATAATGTAGCATTGATATATAAAGGTCATGAGTATTTTTTTTAATCTTTAAACGTTATAATGATCAGCCAGGTCGTTACTTTGTTGCTTTTATATGTGTAGAATAGGGCTGTGCGATTTGGGGAAAATATCTAATTGCAATTGTTATTTATTTATTTGTTTTTAACAGATATTTGCGATTTCGATTTGATTTGCGATTTAATTTTGTAGTCCAGCTTCAGCTCAATATTCTGTATCTTAGCTTCTTACTGCTAAAAGTGAGTGTTAGTTAATAAAGGAACTGAAAAGATATTAACTTACTCCAACTTTTATTCAAATTAGTTTAAAAATATTCAGAAATTAAACACTAATTTTCTCTGGAGTAATTTATCACGTTAGTTGCCTTCGTGATGTTTTATCATGTGGTGTAAAAGCTGTAAACAACTCTGAAATTGTACTTTGCTGTTGCTAGCTACTAGATTGAGTATCACTGGCAATACTTTTAGTTGACTTTTTAGCAAGACGCTCCTCATTTAGCCGCCTGTGGTGTTTTTTTAGGTGCTGATTGCTGTATTTTCTCATGCTGTGGCAACAATTCTGCGACAGCTCCTACAAATGACCGGTTTTTGTTCGGTGTCTGTGACTTTGAAACCAAAATATTCACATATTAACGATAATAATTTGTCTATTAATGCTTCTGAGGCGGCAGATGCAATCATCTTACTTGTTCCGCTTTCCTATTTGTTTGTTTTATTGTGGGCTTTCTGCATAGTTAGGTTGCGCAATTCTGATTGGGCGGATTGAAAGTGTGCTCATACAATCGGCTAATAAGACTGGCGACAGGCACGCATTTGCGTGGGGGAAATTATATAATACATATATATTTCATATTATATATGCATATAATTGTGATTCGATTTTGATTAATCGCACAGCCCTAGTGTAGATTGTATATGATTTGCGTCATTTTAGTTGTTGTATAAAACAATTACTTTAATTTTTTTCTCGAAATTAAATTTCTTAATTTTTTTTGTCAAATAAATATATATATCAGACACATCTGAAACACAAATATTTAGCATTATTACATAAAGCTGGTCAGCTAATTAACAAATTATGATTTTTTTTATTACAAACATTGAACATTGGCTAATGCTTCAATTTATTAAAGTACTTACTTAATATTTATTATTAAAATGTGCAAAATTAATACAAGATGACTTTTATATTATTTACTGAATTACAATACTGAATTATTAAATGTAAACATTTAATTTGAGCAATTTGAATCAAATAGTGAGATTTATGATAAAAGCATCAGCTTTAGAATGAATACAAGTTATTAAATAGACCATTATGAAGGATGTAAACAAAAAACAAGGGTCCCAACGTATTTCCTGTTTTACAATTTTAATTTCTATAGCTTCCGACAATCCAAAAAGAGACGCATACTGATGAATAATGTTATTATAGCTGTTTTAAACATTACGTTATGATTGAATTGCCTCTTGTTACAGTTATGAAATAATTTGAAAACTAGCAGGAAATGTTCTTGTGCCAATGACATGACCACATTGAAATTGTCTATATTTTGTCCTTCTTGGTGTAGAAATCATCATTTAGTCAAGTTTCATTTAAAGATAAGTGCCAAACAGAATCATTGGCTTAAAAAAACACCTGACCCATCTAATGACGTCACACATTGCTGTAAGATGCTGTGAAAAGGATTTAAACATTAGTAGTAATTCCTTTCGTCTCCTTCTGTTTTCCTTTTCTCTCTCTCTCGTCCACAGCTCTGTGTGCAGAAACTGCGAATCCTGATTGAAGACTCGGACCAGAACTGTGAGCCTTCTGTCAATGCCTGCAGTGTGTCATTCTCTCATTGTCTGCATGTTTCTGAGTCCCCCTTCTGGTCCTGTAGATGGAGTCCATGTAGACCTCCATCCCGGATAACTCGAAGACAACCTCAGTGCTACAACAGAGAATTGGCAAGCGTCATTTGTAGCTTTTATAGCTTGAGGAACTTCTCAAAAAAGTGTCCTCCAAAAGAGCCATGCACATTAAACAATCTTGAATTACCTGTCAGGAGTTCGAGTTATCGGTGTCCCTATGAAGCTGGCTATAGAGTAGCTCTACGAATCCTGGACTACCATGTTTTGTTTTTCAGAAACCACAGAGTCGCCTTAATATTAACTTGCATTTGAATGGCCAAGACTTATTGAGTCTTATTGAGTCTGCCAAGTCTTATTTCTATAGATCAGTGTATTTGTATATTGGCATCAGGAAAAGCCCAGTGTTTTAATGGCCCAAGATTGCAGAACTGTGGCTCCAGTCGTCCTGCATCTATATTTAGTTTTATTTGATTATGTGGATACTTCAAACATTAGTGGCTTCATATTATGCTTTTAATCTCTTACAATCAGTAATACAATTGACCTTTAAAATATCTGGCGGAGTAAAACAAAATGGAAGTCCATTAGTGTTCTTGTGGGGGTGTGTCTTGTGTGTGTGTGTGTGTGTGTGTGTGTGTGTGTGTGTTTCCTTTGTGTTTTCTTTTCCCATTGTCTTGTTTTTTTTGTCTTCCTTTACTACATGTGCATATGCAGATTTTTCAATTATGACTATTAGAGAATGGTTAGATTTCATTTGTAAAGTGCTCTAAAGTTGACATGGAATGGAGGTTCACTCTATTGTCTAAGCCAGAGGTTCTCAAAGTGGGGGTCGGGACCCCCCCGGGGGGTCGTCGCTGGACAATCAGGAGGGGTCGGTTGGTTATTTCTAAAAATCGAATTCCTTTTATTAAACTATTATGAATACCATATATTATCTATATTCCAATCTACTTGGGCCTATATGTGTGTGCGCGTTTGTATATTTACAATGACCTCAGAGGATATTGGGGGTCGCGAGTCACTGGTATTGTTGTTTTAGGGGTTGCGAGCTGAAAAGTTTAGGAACCCCTGGTCTAAACTGCATTATTTAGCACAATATAAATCAGGGATGTCCAAAATCGGTTTTGGAGGGCAGGTCTCCTGCATAGTTTAGCTCAAACTTGCTTCAACACACCTGCCTGGAAGTGTCTAGTATATCTATTAAGAGCTTGATTAGCTGGTTCAGGTGTGTTTAATTGGGGTTGGAACTAAAATATGCTGGACACCAGCCCTCTAGGACAGAGTTTGGACACCTCTGTTATAAACAATTCCTAATTGCGTGTTTTATTTAAAAAAAATAGTCTTGTATTCAAAAGCTATATTTTAATCTTTCAATTTCACGTTTAGGTCAATTTAAACAGCACCGATAAATGGCACCCAACAAGGATAATCACCAGATTACAGCACATCACTCCTGAGACATATAATGACCAACAAGTGCTGTACGAATTTGTTTAAATAATAAATGCAAGCGCTAAACATATTTACTTCTGCTGTAGAAAAGTGAAGCCAAAATTTCCCAAAGATGGTGGCTGACATCTTGCACTTGGAGTCGTTTCTGTAGTGTTCATAAAGAGGAGCCGTGGAATCAAACTTCTACAGACTCATTTGATTCTTAAAAGACACTTGGTAACAGCCACCAGTTTTCCCCAATATGGCTAATGTTAAAAAAATAATAAAAAATGAAGCCAGAATGGACCAAAAATGGCTGATGATGTCTTGCATTTGCAGCCAAGGTCTGTGTGGTAGTGATCTTGAAGTGGAGCTGTGGTATCAAACTTCCGGAGATTCATTTAATTCTTAAAAGACACTTAGTAACATCAATGTTGATTTGAAGTGGAGTCATGGTATCACAATCCATCGAACTTATTTAATTCCTAGAAAAAAACTATTTACAAGCTAACAAATTATCATGTTTTCCGCCAAATGACTAATATTAAAAAGTGAAGCCGGATTGTCCCTAAAATGGCTGATGACATCTTGCTTTTTTGTAGCCAAAGTCTGTGCAGTAGTGATCCTGAAGTGGAGCCGTGGGATCAAACTTCTGCAGACTCATTTAATTCTTAAAAGGCACTCTGTAACACAGAGCTAATAACCTGTTTTCCCCCATAGGTCTAATGTCAAAAAATTAAATGAATAAAAGCAAAGCCAGAAAGGATCAACAATGGCTAATGACATCTTGAATTTGCAGCCAAGGTTTATAGTAGTATTGATTGTGAAGTGGAGCCATGGTTCAAAATCCATTGGACTTGTTAAATTTTTAAAAAACAATTTACAAGCTAACAAATTATCATGTTTTCTGCCATATGACTAATATAAAAAAGTGAAGCCAGATTGTCCCAAAAATGGCTGATAACATCTTGCTTTTGCAGCCAAAGTCTGTGCAGTAATGATTCTGAAGTGGAGCCATGGTATCAAACTTCCGCAGACTCGTTTAATTCTTAAAAGACACTCTGTAACAGCAAGCTAAAAACCTGTTTCCCCACATATGTCTAATGTCAAAAAATAAAAATAAAGCAAAAATGGCTAATGCTGTCTTGTGAAGTGGAGTCATGGTAATAAACTCCATTTAGACTCATTAAATTAAAAGTATCTAAAAATAATCTAAAATTAAAATCTATTTAAAAGCTAACAAATTATCACGTTTTCCCCCATATGACTAATAATAAAAATGTGAAGCCAGATTATTCCCAAATTGGCTGATAACATCTTGCTTTTGCAGCCAAAGTCTGTTTGGAAGTGATTCTAAAGTGGAGCCATGGTACCAAACTCCCTTAGACTCATCTAAAAAATGTTAATAAGGGCTAACTCCCAAAACAATTCCACTGAGACTTTTACCTCTAAATATTGGGATTAGTACAATGTGAATTGGCCATTAGACCTCCCTCAGGTGATGTGTGGCTGACATTTAATCCAGCCAAACTTCTTAAGTCAACTAGAAGCTCACATTTACATCCACCTTCATCAATTATACATAAATCAAGTCCCCACCTGTCTTTTTTTCTGATGAACATTTTGTATGTCATAATACGGAACAAAATATCTATCACAACCTCCATTCACATTGCGACTTTCATAGTCTAAATAAATGTAGAAGTAGCCTTGCTTCATTTCAAAAGTCACTTAGGCACTGTGGTGTTTTACAGTGAAGTACTTGGGTCTTCTGGCCATGTCAAAGATCCTAAAGACGCACCCGAAGTCTGTGCAGTCACACAAAGACCTGATCCTGCAATGTTTGGATGACAAAGATGAGTCCATTCGCTTGAGAGCTCTGGATCTGCTCTACGGCATGGTGTGTACAACTTTAATTTGTTTACATTGTTCTGTGAAGAGCTTGTATATTAAGAGTTTACAAAAATGTGGGCAACCAGGTCTCAAAGAAGAACTTGATGGAGATTGTGAAGAAGCTCATGCTGCATGTGGACAAAGCTGAAGGCACCACTTACAGAGATGAGTTGCTCACCAAGATCATCGACATCTGCAGCCAGAGCAACTACCAGTATATCACTAACTTCGAATGGTAAGACTTAACCAAATATACACTCAGGGGCCATTCACACCAAACATGTTTTCCATTCCAATATGCTACTTTTCCATTGTTTTTCAAAGTAAGCACACACTTGAAGAACGCAGGTATTTTGGGACACCTCGCACTTGAGCAACACTTTTATTTAAGATGCCATGTGAAGTTAAAAGAACTTTCACAAGCAACACTCCTTATTAATGTCAGTTCCGAAGCATTGGACCAATCAGAAGAACTTTCAGGCGAGGCAAGTGTTGCAAGTTTTAGTTTACAGTTTTACAGTAGCAAGTTGGCATGTCAACTGTTATGTCTTCATAACATGGCAGAGATGGCCTTAAAAAACCCTTCCCAAATGATGCATCTTGCAGGTTTTTTTTAGACACACAGAAGTGTTCTGTGTGAATGGGCCTCTTTTTTTGTAGATTTTTAGGTTGTACTGCACAATGTGTGCTCCAAAGCATGTCATTATCTCTGTCAGTAAGCACTGTTTCTGGACTCCCTCAAACACCTCAGTTGTCGTGCTAATTTGGAATTGTACAATTGGGCAAAGCTCGGTTAAGTTACGCTGTTCCCAAAAGGTTTCATTTCACAGGTCTAATATACTGATACACATGCTGTTTTTTCCCCAACTAATAATTACAGACATATTCTGAACCATGTGGACTCATGAAAGCAATACTTTCAGATATTTAGCTTTTTGTCTGTGCAGTCTTTGTGTGACGCATACAGAAAACTGTATATCAGGAGTTTAAACTGACAAGGCTTTATAATATATGCAGATCTTTTGTTTGGTATTGTAATGCTGCTTTCACACCAGACGCAGATAAAGCATCAAGAGTGATTTACATGTTAAGTCAATGCAAAGACGTGAATAGACATCCTGCGGCACGAATGAAGTGATGCGAATTGTGCGTTTGTCGCATGGATTGCTCGAGTTGGACTTCAGCGGACATTCGTGCCACGTTAACCAATCAGGAGCTGGCAGACAGAAGCCCCACCTATGATGTGAATCCGCGTTTATTGTGAAGTAAATTTGTTGTGCGAATTAAGTGAATGTGATACACGAATGTTGCGAGTAAATTTGATATATTCACGCATCTGTTGATGTGCAAATAGTGCAGTTTATTCATGCGTGCCGCATCTGGTATAAACGCACCATTTAAGTAACTGAAGCCCATGCTGTAAAGACTCCTCCCTGTTTGAGAAAGGGGGCTTATTAGCAGCAGTTGATTTGCATTTAAGGAAAAATCTAAATGTTAGGTGCACACCAAACCAACAGGTGGCGATAATGACTGTATCCGAACATTGCGGAATATTTGATACATTTGCCGCGAACGTGCAAAATTTGCATCTTTGTGTGAACCCAGATGTGTTGGCCAATCAGAAAGGAGAAAACAGCTTAGAATTCATGAATGGGAGTGAAGCGAAGCAACTCGTAGGTCACGTGATCATGACAAAATGGCAGATGTCGTACGTCTGAGTTCCATTCGTACTACTGACATATTGAATGGAAAGTACTTTTCTAACAGTCGAAGTAGTACGTTTAAATTCAAATGCAGTACCTACAGAGGCGTAGGCCATTTCGGACGCAGCTATATTATTGAGGACTGTGTTTCTTTCCCTTTTTTACTGTCCTTCCACTTTGTCTTCACTTTTAAAATGCAAGTAATAGTTCTAACTCAATCAACCATTAAACATAGAATCAGTTACCTTTACAGTTGTATGTAGCACTGACTACACACACAAGTCATAAAAGCGCCTTCTTGTCCTCCAGGTACATCAGTATCCTAGTAGAACTGACTCGTCTCGAGGGCACCAGGCACGGCCATCTAATCGCTTCTCAGATGCTGGATGTTGCCATTCGCGTCAAAGCCATCCGAGCCTTCGCTGTGGCTCAGATGGCCACTCTGCTGGACAACGCACACCTGCTGACTGGCAACACACAGCGCAACGGGATCTGCGAGGTTCTCTACGCCGCCGCATGGATCTGTGGGGAGTTTGCAGAGTATGTGCACGTGCCCTAGAAAAGATTTCGATTCAAACATACAATGCCATACTAATGTTTACCCTTTTCTCGCAGGCATCTGGAGGACCCTATGCTGACACTAGAGGCCATGTTGAGACCCAAGGTGGCCACCCTGCCCGGTCACATCCAGGCGGTGTATGTGCAAAACGCTGCCAAGCTGTTTGCAACAGTGCTGCAGAAGCATGAAGGGGAGACGGACAGTCAGGCCGCTCAGGAGACCAGCCAGCTGCTTATCGACAGACTGCCGCTGTTTGTCCAGAGTGCCAACCTAGAAGTGCAAGAGAGGGTGAGGAGAAGCTTTGTTCAAACATCTAGTGACCTGACGGAGCTTTAGGCATCTGAAGTGACATGAAGGTGGTGTTGACCACGGGCCATTGAATTATTGGAAAATAATGCACTTCTGAGGTGGTGCTGCAAAGTGGCTATAACTATTTTCTAGTAATTCAGTGGGCTGGAGTCAATTATTCTGCTTATACTATTATTACTAAGGGTGTCACGATTTCGATTTTAATCGAAAATCGATCGAAATTTATGCTCTATTTCGATTATCGAATCAAAAAATAGAATCGTCGATGCTGCCACGCCCCCATGTCACGTCAGCTTGGCTTGCCAAGCGGGAAAAAACACGCTTGTTGAAGTGCTTGTTAAACTGTGCAGACGCAGGAGACCCATCGACAGAGCTTAAACCTTCAGGGCTCGACAATAAGGACTGCCCGATAGCCCGGGGCCAGCGTGCGAGACGCTCGGGTCAGTGTACAGTGCTGCCTTGATGCCTGACAGATTGAGCCAGAGCTGCGTGCTGCGACTGTCTGTCAATTGTGTGCAAATACAATCTTACGGTGCTTTCACACATAGACATTTGTTTCAGAATCTGTCTCGTTTCCCCCGTTAGTTTGTTTGGCATATATCCAGCAGTTGCGCTCGCATCCACGCCAAGTCAATTAGTCCGAGATCGCCTGAATGAGACTGTATCTGCCCTACTGAGCGGATCGATTGTAGTGAGAAAACAAAACAATGCAACGAACTAATGACCCAGGCTATATCACAGTGTATTATGATCGTGTAATAGCCATATATACGGCTATATGAAGAGAGAATGATGAGCAGGGCGAGATGTCATTCTTACCGGTAAATTACCGAGAGCTGTTTATCCAGCCTGATCTCGGTACGTCAGGAAAATTGACCGAAATTACTATCTGTTAATTTTTCCATATTTTAATCGTATAATATGTTGTATTAGGCCTGTTGTTTTGTTCATTTCCGCACTGACAGCTCGAAAGAAAGATTTACATTGATCTGATGCAGTCTCGGTTCATCTGCTAGGTCTCTCTATATATTAAGCCTATCATGCAGAATTCTAGCCAACGTTTCTTTAATTGATTGATTAATTCAATAATCGATTTTTACAAAACCTGAAAATTGAAACGAGGCTTTGTATATATGAGAAAGTCTGACCTCTGCTTTATATTTGGTGACGATGTCTGTAGGTTGTTAAAATTAAAGTGCACATTTTTGCTTATAAAATATTCTATACACAAGTGCTCTATAGTTTGGGGTCAGTATGATTAAATATGTTAAACTAAGCTTCTTCTGCTCACCAAGGCTGCAATTATTTCATCATAAATACAAGTTATGAAATGTTGCACTATAAAATAACTGTTCAAAAGTAGTTTATCATTTAATTTATTCCAGTGATTTTAAAGATGAAATTTCAGCTTCATTACTTTAGTCACATGATCCTTCAGAAATCACTAATATTAATTATTATTATATTTATTAATGGTAATAGTAATAAAAGCAATAATGTCTGGAGTAATAATTTTATTTGAAACTACGTACAATAACAAAGCAGTTATTTAAAATTTTGATAAATATTTAACAATTTAACATTTTTTACATTTAATAAATGTAGCCTTGATGAACTGAATAAGTTTTCTTAAAAACATTTAAAAAATTACTGTAAATATATATATATACAGTGGAAGTCAGAATTATTAGCTTTGTTGTTTTTTTCTTTTTAAAATATTTAGTAAATGATGTTTAACAGAGCAAGGAAATATTGATAGTATGTCTGATAATATTTCAAATTCAAAGTCTTATTTGTTTTATTTTGGCTAGAATACAAGCAGTTCTTAATTTTTTATGAACCATTTTAAGGTCAAATTTATTAGCCCTTTAAGCTAATTGTTTTTCAGACTGTCTCCAGAACAAACCATCGTTATACAATAACTTGCCTAATTACCCTAGCCTGCCTGGTTAACCTAATTAACCTAGTTAAGACTGCTTCAATCTTTTACTTTCACACTAGTACTTAGTGATTTTAGCGAAAACCTCAGATACTGTTGGCTGGTTCCTGTTGGTTGTGCGTCTTTTTTACCGACGCCATTATAACGACACAGATCACTGCCTATTCACAAGAAAAAAGTGATTGACAGGTGGTAATTATGTGTGTAACTTGCCTTTATTCATTTACTGTATGATTTGTTTATGGGTAAAACAAAGACCGTACAGGTCAGGTAGTTTAAACGGTAGACTACAAATAATTAATTTGTTATTAATTAATTAATTATTCATAATTGAAAATCGAATCGTGACTTAAGAATCGAAAATGTAATCGAATCGAGAATTTGGAGAATCGTGACACCCCTAATTATTACCACACCAAAGTCCCTGTTCAGATGTGTTTGTATCACGACTTTTAGATTTTTGAGATAGTATAGCAACATGTTAGCAATGTAATAAACATGTCAGCAACAACATGTTAGCAGTGTGTTAATCATGCTAGAAAAGTACTAGCTATAAGTTGAATCATTTTAGTAACATGCTAGAAATGCCTTGCGACATACTAGTAAATCCCAGTATTCAGACGATGACTTTTGCAACCACATTTATGGTTTTTAAGGCCAATTCACACTGCACAGACAAACATCGACAAACAAGACTGTTGCAGGTTGTTGGATTAGTGTAAAACCCCTGAATAGCGTCTTTTGCCATTTGCCATTTGCCATCGAGTTAGTTTTCACCCGACTAAGCATGTTTAATCTGAGTTTGTTGGATCGTGAAATATTTCAGCAGTGTGAAAGAATTTTCCAACAGACTCTGACTCAAGCCGTGTTCACACTGGACTTTTCGGCCTTTAGATTTTCATTCATACCCATGTGAATGCGTCAGACCGGAAACGTAAGCTCGTGCGACAAATCACGTTGTTTGCTGCATTGCAAAGTTTAAGCTTGATGAACTCTGACCTGTCAAATCGCATCATGTGATTGTGTGAGACCAATCCAAGATTACAACATGACCTCTCTGCACAGAAATGTAAAATATGGACCCATCGCTCACTTTTTTTGATGTCTAATCATCGTGTTTAATCCTGCCCTTTTTCTTAGCGATGTACGAAAGAATTTTGCATGCTCAAACTCGAGTGTGACTCTGCATTAATCTGATTGTTTCCATGAAAATAGCTATGTTTCCATTCACCTATTTTATGTGCATTTTGGATATGCATAAAAATAATGGTTGATAGAAACGCCATGATGCAAATCAATTTAGAAAACTCGCTTAAGAACCGTTTGCGCATAATTGAGTAGGATAAACGTTTTAATCGATAAAAAAGACGCGCATAAGCTTGAAACACTTTTAACGAACAAATTCCAGTATGTGCATTAAAAAAAAAACATGTAATTTTGTGATAAGAGGTCATGTGATGGTAAAAATGTGTGTGAATGGATAAACCAGCAGACTGAGCACATTGTAAAACATCTGAAATGTTGTTTTGGTCATTCTAAAATGCCTGAACAATTTCAGTATTATTGTTATTATATTATTAATTACCTTCAGAATTGTCAAAGTGTCTGCGCTCCGCGTCTTACTCCTTCAAACACCACCATAGGTTCATTGCATGTCGACATTTGTCTTCGTCTTTTTTAAGAAAATAAATAAAAGTAATTTATTAAATAAAGAAAAGACTCACGCAGCTTCTCCTACCGCAGTAAATTCCAATTTTATATTCCAAAGTTGATATTTGGTGCCAGTTAATCAGGAAGTGACGATTTTGGAGGTTTTTTTTTACTCTTTGGAAGGATACACTGCTTCATTTGCACGTCTTTTATGCGATATTCTAGTTTTGAACATACATTAAATTTGCATCTTTGGATTGAAACATAGCTAGTGAGGCAAAACCGATGCGAGTAGGTGCTGGAACAAACTAGAAGGAAGAGCATTTATTGGATCTTTGGTAAGTAACAATTTGACTGTTGGGATTTGGTCACCCATTTGATCTTCCCAGTCAGAGTCTGTTTGTTGGTGATCTATTATTATTTTTCATCGTTGTTTTTCATAAATTACTTAGTACAACAGCCAACTTGTTTGTTGGCGTTTGTCTGTGCAGTGTGGATTGGCCTTTAGAAGAAAAGGCCAATCGAATGGATCTTGGTCGAATGGATCTTGAACTTTTAGCTTAACAACATGGAAATGTCAAACTCTATTGAAATCATTCAGAACACTCTTCATAAATGCTGTCATGAATCCAATAATATGGCTTTCTAATCAGAGTTGATCATCTTTATTTGCAATGCTTACTGGCATATGACATCATTATATGAGTCATATCCCATAGCTAGCGCAACATTAACCGCAATGTTTTCCCCTGCAGGCATCCTGCATCCTCCAGCTGGTGAAGTACATCCAGAAGCTGCAGCAGAAGAATGTGGAGGTGGCTGAGGAAGTGACGGCCCTCTTTGCTGGAGAGCTCAACCCTGTGGCCCCCAAGGCCCAGAAGAAAGTGCCTATACCAGAAGGGTGAGTCAGTCTTGAGGGTATCTTTGCTAGAGGCATAGCTAGTTTCCATTGAAAATATTTGGCAACACTGGCTTTGAACCAGCATTTAAAGGAAAAGATGCTACAACTCCCTTCTTCCCCTGCAGTCTGGATTTGGATGCCTGGATCAATGAGCCTCCATCAGAGAGCGAATCAGAGGACGAGAAGCCCAAAGCGGTGTTCGCTAAAGAGGAGCCCAAGCATTCCAGATCGAGACACACTGAGGTGGATGAGAAAGAGCTGGCCAGGGTGAGTGGACACTGCCTTCGAGACCTTCAGTAAATGTTAAAGTGCAGTTGTCTTAATGCGTTTGTCTAATTTTATACAGAGGAGGGAGGCAAGGAAGCAGGAACAGGCTAACAACCCGTTCTACATCAAGGCCTCGCCATCATCACAGAAGGTATGAAGTTTGATAATAAAAATGCGTCATGACAAAATGTACTTGCTTGTGATGAGTGCTTGTATGTTAAAACCTCATAGAATCATTCAAAATTGGCAGTGTTAAAGACAACATGTTAGCAACATGGTAGCTGTAGGTTAATTATTTAGCAACGTAGATCCAACATGTTAGAAACATTAGTTACATTTACAGTTGAAGTCAGAATTATTAGCCCCCTTTTAATTAATTTTTTTTTTTTTAATATTTCCCAAATGATGTTTAACAGATCAAGGAAATTTTCACAGTATGTCTGATAATATTTTTTCTTCTGACGAAAATCTTATTTGTTTTATTTTGGCTAGATTAAAAGCAGTTATTAATTTTTTTTAAAACCATTTTTGGAACAAAATTATTAGCCCCATTGAGCTATTTTTTTTTTTCAATAATCTACAGAACAAACCATCGTTATACAATAACTTGCCTAATTACCCTAACCTGCCTAGTTCACCTTAATAACCTAGTTAAGCCTTTAAATGTCACTAGTAAAATATTATTTACTGTCATCATGTCAAAGATAAAATAAATCCGTTATTAGAAATAAGTTTTAAAAACTATTATGCTTAGAAATATGCTGAAACAATATTCCCTCCATTAAACAGAAATTTGTAAAAAAAAAAAAAAAACAGGGGAGCTAATAATTCTGACTTCAACTGTATATATTGGCAGTGTGTTAATGGCAACATGGTTAATTATTTAGCAAAATAACATGATGCAACATGTTCAAACTTGTTAGAAACATTTGCAGTAATGATATTAGCAGTGCTTTAAAGACAACAACATGTTAGCAACATGCTAGCTGTAGGTTAATTATTCAGCAACATAACATGCAACATGTTAGAAAGTTTAGCGACAAACATATTAGCTGTGTTTTAAAGAGTACATGTTAACAACATGCTAGCTATAGTTTCAATATTTAGAAAAATAACATGATGTAACATGATAAAACATATTAGAAACATCATCTACATTCATATTTGTACTGTGTTAAAAGTAATAATTAACAACATGCTAGTGTTGTGAAAAAAAGATTCTGGTCTGCAAATTTTTTTTCTAAGTTTCTAAGTCAAAGTCTTCAAAAAATGATCTCTGCGATCTCCGAAGTCTTTAGGCAAAGCAGTTTATTGTTACAGCATCAGTAACAACAGAGACGGGTCGTTTGGGTGTCTGATGAGTATAGGCTAGCACATTGTTTAAATACACTATTAGCAACATGTTGGCTATAGGTTCATTATTTAGGCAACATAACATGATGCAACATGTTAGAAACATTAGCGATATTCATATTAGCAGTGTTTTAAAGACAACAACATGTAAGCAACTATGCTAGCACCAAGTGATGCAACAAGTTTGTTGGCTATGTATTAATTTTAGAAACGTGCGAGCAATGTGTTTATTCATGTTAGCAATGTGATAAATTTGGTATCAAGACATGCTAGCAGTGTGTTTAAAAAACATAATTTTGCAGCTTGTTTATGCATGCTAGATTCGTGGAAAGACATTAAAAAGCTAGCATTTGTGTTAAAACAAGCTTAGATTGTACAATTAGGATAGTTGAAATGTAAGCCATGTGATAAACATGCAACAAATTGTGTTAACAATTTGTTTAGAAGGTAAACCAATTATAAACAAATGTTGTTAACAAAACTCACCTTAGTAACAACATGCCCAGAATTATATGTTAAGATGAGCAAGAAATTTGTAAAAGTGAATTAGCAGTGTGATAAGACATAATAGCAGTGATTTAGCATGTTAGCAATGTGTTAAAGACTACAACCTTGTAGTAACATGTTAGCAATGTGAAAACTAGTGCTCTGCAAATAAGTTCAGTCATGCTAGCAAAGTGCTCGGAACTGCATTTTAAGGGATGCTAGGTTCCTAGCACAACATGTAAGCAACACATCAGCAGTGTGTTCAATATTAGCATTGTTTGAAATTGGAACATTAGCATTTCCTGAAAAGTTCTATAAACATGCAAATGTGTTCAATCATGCTAACGTGATAAATGGGCAATCTAGCTAGCAAAAAGACTGCATGGGAACATATTAAAAATAATAAAAACAGTATACTGACAATAAGTGAATTATTGCCAGCAACATGGTAACAAAACCCATTATGTTTAGACTTGCTAAAAGCGTTTTCATGTTAGCAGTGAGATAAGGCTTGCTAGCAACATTGTGCTAATTTGTTAGCATTTTAATAACCAAAAATGTTAAGAAAATAAATAAATCTACATTTTGTCAATATTTGACACTCTTATTTCTAAGACTACAAAACATTGACATTTGATCTTGTTGCAGGTTTATGATGCGCCAGGAGTTGAACACATCCCAGTGGTGCAGATTGACCTTAGTGTGCCTCTCAAAGTCCCAGGTGAGCAAAGTGATCTAGTAAAATCCTCCATAAGGGAACGTAGAATAAAAATAATCAACATCATCATAATTGTGTTGCGTTTATTCCAGGGATGCCCATGTCTGACCAGTACGTCAAGCTGGAGGAGGAGCGCCGGCAGAAGGAGAAGGCCGACAAGAAGAAGAAGGAGAAGAAGAAAAAGAGGGAAAAGCGAGGGAAAGGGAGGAAGGGGGATTCAGGTCCCGAGAGCGAGGAGGACATCACACCTGCTCACCATGTGGACATAGTCACAGAGGAAATGCCAGAGGTAGACAGCTCTTATTTTACACGCATTTTACCCTCATGCTGCATACAGCTCCATTTTGATGTGGAAGAGTTATAGCACACAAAATGTATGTGTTTAGTGAGAAAACAAAACTATGCAAATGCTTTAATGGCCCGTTTCCACTGACTGGTACAGTACAGTATGGGTCGCTACGGGTCACCTTTATCAAGCTTGCATTTTCACTACCAAGGGTACCCTTTTTGGTGGGCATGGTGTACGACAGAAAGTGTCAGTTGACGTCATTCTCGCTCTAGTAAATGTCCACAGTAAAGCTGTACGGGTTGTTTGCATATCATATAAGAAGGACTTATCACAAAACAGATGCTTTATACACATAAGTACTTGTTTATAAATGTTTATTACTAACGTTGCTATTAAATTAATTAGATTATAAGTGCAGATCAATGACAGTGTGAAATAGCCTACTGCAATGTCTGCAATTATATAAAATAAATATATAAATGCAACATATAGAAACACATAAAGACCCTTACCGTCTCTGATATGTTACAACTTTCAGAAAACCACACACAGCATTCATTTAGTCCTTATTTAGGTTCAAAAACAACGCGCAACATGTAGCCCACAGTCAGTGCAAACCTCTTATCCGTGTCTGTAATCTTCACCAGCACGTGTAACCTCTGTTAGAAAGTAATTCTGTCATTCCGAGTTTATAATTGTCTAAAAGGCGGTGATAAACATGGCAGTTTGTTTGTGATTCAGGTTGCTAAAACGATTTGCTCCCATGTTTTTTTGGGCTTCTCCTTTGTTCACGCTTCACTCTGAATGTCCTTTTCTTTCTGAATGGAACAGACGACGGAGACGCTTTAATAATCACGCGCATATTATTATCATCGGCTCACCCGCTCACACTTTTAGGCAGCATCGTAGAACAACAACAGTACACGTCAGATTTTGTTCTTCTTGACTTTGTGTATGTACATCAAGGTTTGTTTGATGTAGGTTTGTCATTCATGGGTCATTATAATATACATATTGCATTACGATGTAATGTCTCAGCTTTGTATTTAAAACATGGTGGTTCCTTTGTTTTCATTCTGGCTAGCTCCTCACAAGCTAGTGACGTATCTCTGTAACCAATCAGCATTCAGCTGCGTGTGTGGCTCCACCTTTTGGTACCCTTTCTCGTGTTTGGTACGTTTTCAAAAGGTTTTTCGAAAAAGTGGTATGCTACGGTTTAGTTTGGTACGTCTTTTGACAGTGGACCGTTCTGTACCACTCATTGGAAACGGACCATAAGACCATCAAAAACACGAAATACCTTTATTTACTTTTATTTATTTCGCCATAAATATAATATTATAGAATAAAAATTCTAGTTTTTATTATTTTATTTTTGTTACAATATTTATTAAGATATGTTAAACGTTTAATTTTGTGGTAATTTTTTACCAGTATTTGTATAGTTAAGATTTATTTAAAAAAAAAAAAAAAAAAGAAAGAAAAATGAAATAAATGATGATACATCTCATTTTTGGTAATATATCTACAAAATACAAGGTGCCAAAAAAGTGAATTTATTTTTACCCCATTGCAACATGAAGTATAATTTTTTTTCTTTTTTTTCTGAAAGTGAAATATTTATGCCATAGATATATACACTAGATGTCGCCTGGCCTATTGTTGTCTATTGGATGGAATGCGTCAATAGCGCCGCCATCTTGCTACAGGGTAGCGCTCCTTTGAAATGAATGCGGGACCAAGGTACAGTGGAGGACTGTGGCCATGCAAAGCCAGAGATATACACATATATCTATGATCGGGAGTTTTTTCTGGATGTTAGTATGTAATTTTTATTTTCTAATTACGCAAATTATAATTTTACATAACTTTTCTACATTGATAGATCAGTGACCGCACGGGCATTCCTGACAAAAAGCTTGTGATTGTGTGTACAGAAATGTACTATTCACCCTCCCTGTTAAATTTGATCTAATCGTCCTGAAACACACCTCCTCTACCGCTTTCACTTCTCATACTGACAGGGAGAGAGCGATTCGTTTGTGAATGAATCCCCCGAACGACTCTTTCACTAAAGTTAGGCGACAATAATACAAGTTTCTGGCAGCGCAGCATCTCGTTGTCATATTTCTTTTGCATTGTTTGCTGATTTTATACAACAAAACTAGCATAAGCCGAGTGTTTAGTGCGAGTTGGAGCTGCTTTGCCGTATGGTGAATTCAGTAGGTGATTGTTATCATCAATAACGTTACCTGATTAGCACAAAAGTTCAGAACATACAAAAACAGAAAAAAACATAATATTACCTATGAAATATTCTGCCTTTGTGCTTTGTTTTCTTTGTTTGCTCGTTACTACACCCGTAGACAGCGCTAAAGTCCCGCATCTTCATGTAATAACACTGTCTTGACTAGTGCGGTTGAATGACATTTGTCCTGGAAGCACTGTACCAATGTGGCGGCGCTATTGACGCATGCTCAGGGTCCCTATGCAATATTTAGTGTATATATCTGTATTTATGCAAGAAAAGTTTATATATATTTTTTTTTTTATTATTTGTAATAATCATGTTATATTTGATTTAAAATCACTATAATAAAGTGATAAAGTAATAATATTGTTAATACAGTTAAAGGAAGGTAAATTCAAAACATTTAAACTATGTTTTTTTTTAAATATATAAAGTTATGACGGTTTTAGACAATAATAATGCTTAAGATCCATACAGTACAGATTTTGAATGCATTTATAATGCTGTTGACAAAACTATGTGCAATAATATTGCTGTGTCTCTGTTCCCAGAATGCCTTACCAAGTGATGATGATGATAAAGATCCCAATGACCCTCATAAAGCTCTGGACATCGATCTGGACAAGTATGTGCAACATTGTGGTCTTTGATTTGCTCTACATAAAGTGATGCACTGAAATTATTATTTAGTTTTATTATTATGTTATGTTTTTACAGACACTGAATTCATATTTTGCTGTTACATTTAATAATTTGACTTGACTAAACGGTTTCTTCCAAAACTGGACCCCAATATTTAATTTTATATTTTGTTTACAGAAATCGAGGCATCACTAGCTACGCTTGTTAAATTTTCAATGTTCATTCGGACCAAAAGCAATAATTTTAATACCTATTGTGGTTGCGCATAATTAGATCGTTGGTTTTGATGTGTTTGTTCCTTGAACTGTTCAATAACAAAATGAAGTCCATACCTTTTAAACTAAAGTTAGATATTCCAATCTTTGGCGATGCAGTGGCGCAGTAGGTAGTGCTGTTGCTTCACAGCAAGAAGGTCGCTGATTCGAGCCTCGGCTTGGTCAGTTGGCGTTTCTGTGTGGAGTTTGCATGTTCTCCCTGCTTTTGTGTGGGTTTTCTCCAGGTGCTCCGGTTTCCCCCACAGTCCAAAGACATGCGGTACAGGTGAATTGGGTAGGCTAAATTGTCCATAGATGAGTGTGAATAAGTGTGTGTGGATGTTTCCCAGAGGTGGGTTGTGTCTAGAAGGGCATCCGCTGCATAAAAATATGCTGGATAAGTTGGCGGATCATTCCGCTGTAGCGACCCAGGATTAATAAAGGGAATAAGCCTAAAAGAAAATGAATTCCAATCTTTTAATTGTCCATTTCATCAAAAGTTAAAAAAAAGTAAACGTCAAAATAAACTCATTCTCAAGTCTAAAAAAGTTTTTTGACCTACATTCCCCAGGTCATCATTAGAAGATCATAAATACATTATACACCCTCTAGTAGTGTGAAGGAAAATTACAACCAAAAAAAAGGTCCTACACCTATATTAAAATCCACATGAGATATGGCTTTGTTCATTATAAGTGTGTAGACTACTCTTGAACACCTTGATTTGTTGGATCAGCTCTATTTGAATAGGGTTGGAGCAAAACTGTGCAGAGCTGCAAGTTTGAGAGCCATGTTCTTTTACAGCAATCGAAGCAAAGTTCTGAAACAATTTTTAAAATTTTTGTAGTTTTTGAATTTTAGTTTTTAAAGTTAAGAACAGTTTTCAAAACCATCTTTATTATTATAGTTGTCGGCATGCAGGGCATGTCAGCATGTCTCATTGTTTGGTCGGTCACACTCTGTTACTCGGAGAACATTAAATTGCACTTAATTTTCACTGTCATCATCCTTTTTTCCTCCAGTTATTGTTTTCAATTTCATGCTTCCTGCCACTGTCTTCCGTTAAAAGGCCTTTAAGCGGCCGCTGATTGATGATTTGGGGATCTCCAGTTGTCCTGTATCTCCTCCACTCACTCACACACACTACTTTCTTTTTCTTCTGCCTTTTTTTCATCTCTTTCTCCCATGCACGCACTCATCTGCCCTCCTGACAGTCTGCTCTCTGGTGCTGGATCACGGTGAGTACTTCCTGTGGTCATGTGACCCAGTGGAAATCAGCTGGCCAATTATCGACACCTGTTACTCCTATTTTCCTGGCAATCGCAGTATGTCGCTGCTGGATCACAAAATATGTAGCGAAGAATGTGCTATGCATGTATGATCAGCTCCAAGTTGGGTTTTTGGCTAGAACTTGAATACTTCTGTTCAAAAGTTCGGAGTCAGTAGATTTTTTTGTATATCAAGTAAAATCAAGAAATCTTATTGCAATTTACATACATATTTAAATAGAAAATCGTTTATTCTTTTATCTTCTGGTGTCTCATGATCCTTCATTTTATTATCAGATGTTTAATGTTTAATTTAAACTGTGATCTATTGTAAAGACTATTATTGGATAATTACATTTGCAACATTATGCATGCCACTTTTGATCAGTTTAATGGATCGTCTCTATTAGAGTATTATTTTTTTTTCAGTAAAGTAAATAATAAATTGTACTAATGCCAAATATTTGAACAGTAGTGTATTACTTGCCAGTGTTGACAGCCTTGCCTGGCTTTGGTTTTTCTCCTGAAATTCGCTAGCGAGAATTTTCAATCCTCAGTTGTTGGCAGCTTTGTTGTACAGGGACGTTTTACTGCTTTTAAAGGCCTTTTCACAGCAAATCTGAATTTCTGCCACAAACCACATACACCACTTCATACAAAAAAAGAAGCCAAATTTAAAATATAGCACCTAAATTATTTCTCTTATCTTTATTTATTTATGTTTTTAAGTATTTTTTTGTTTGATTGGCAAAAATTATCCAAAGGGAAAAAACAGGCCGTAAAAAAAAAAAGCTATGCTGCGCTGCTCTGCCCAGTGACTATAAATTTTAAGCAGCTTTTACACCAGACACGGAAAGCACTATGCTATAAAACCTATTCATTTCAATGGCATAATTTGTTGCTGCAGTGAACAAAGTGCAAGTGCAGCAAAGTGCACAGTCAGGTAGCTTGTGGCAACATGCAGTCAATATCCAAAATATTACGCTGTGTAGATATTCTGCTCATAAAAATGTAAAAAAGCTCAAGTAGCTTGCGTGCACCATGCAGTCAATATACAAAATATTGCACTGTGTAGATATTCCGTTCATGTACACATAGTTATTCATGCATGAAATGCACATGCTCATCAGAAAAAAGTCCACTCAAAATGCACCAACAGGACATTTGTATGTAGTATACATAGTATGCTTGCACTACTGACCTGTCGTGGCAACACTTCTAAATTGACAGCTTTCAATATACTATGGTTACTTATTTTATTGTCTTGTGTTTTTTAATAGGAAGTTAAGTTAAATGGACTTTTTTCGTTTTTGACGAATGCCCCATTCACACGGGGCGTCAGCGTCGACGCTTCCCATTCACCTTGAATGGGTGACGTCAGACGTTGCTGAACTGCATTGTGGATCTGTCGCCGCCGATTCGGAGGCGTTGCTCGCTGCAGAAGTTGGGACTAGCTCAACTTTTCAAGCACCGACGGAAACGTCAGCCAATCAGATTGCTGAATGCACAGGGTTCCTACGGGTGCTGGAAATCCTGGAAAATGCTTGATTTTTAATATAGTGTTTTCAAGGTTAGAAAAGTGCTTGGATTTTGAACAGTGCTTAAACCTGCTTGAATTTGAAATTGCATTGCTTTCATAATAATTCGTTATCTTATGGAGTAGTTTTCCTTTAAGCTAAAAATTAATTTTTCACATAATCAAAACCTAAAGTAATATCGACAATAATAAAAAGTAATATCGATGAAAGCTTACAAACTGTCATTTCCATATTTGGTGACGGATTTTCACAACAATTGACATAGGAACAGTTTATTAGTTTGCTGCAGGAATATTTTCTGACTCTTAAGGATTTAATTTGTTACTTGAATAGCAGTGGACATAAAATATTACGAACAAGAAATCAACTTCAGGTAGAAAGAGAACGGACTTTAAAAGATACTTCATCCAATAACTGAACTTTCTAATATATATATATATATATATATATATATATATATATATATATATATATATATATATATATATATATATATATATATATATATATACTGTTTTTGGGTGAACTATCCCAATAAGTCTATGCTCCAAAATATTGAACAATTTAAGTAGAAATGTCATATTGTGTTTTTTTAAATAGCACAGGGGATTTAAATGTGAATACGTAAATACAACATATATAAACGTAATATACCATGGTTGTTAGGTGCTGAAAAAACAAAAATGCTCATTGAAAGTGCTTGAAAAGTGCTGGAATTTGAAGTTGGAAAAGGTGTAAGAACCCTGAATGCAAATACATCAGCTAAACAGTGGCCTATTACTGACTGAATTTCATTGGCTGACGCTTCTATGATGATCGCTTCAGCCCCAACTTCAGACACGCCTTCAGTCAAGCGTTGACGCTGAAGCTCCGTGTAAATGGGGCGTCAGTTCTTCAAGAATTTAGTTTCAGACCTGAATTTTAATTTGGGTCGATCTGTAAGTTTTTGTACTTATTTTTCAGATTCATTTAAATCCCAATATTTGTTTTTTGTTTTGTTTGTATTTTTGGTGTTTTGCTTTATCATTATTATTAAAAAACTACTAAATGACTGATTCAAATCATTTTATTTCAGCCTGGGTTTATTAAACAGAGTTTAGATTAAAATATTTGGTGTTATTAAAAGATTTTTTTGGTTTTTATTCATTTTAGTTTTGTTACATTTTTATTTGTTTAGATTTCTTTGTTCTTTCTGTTATGTAAACACAGTTCAGCAGGTTAAATTATTTGTTTTCAAGTGTTTCTTTTGTGTAAGTTTGCATGTTTTGTTTCATTTTATTAGGGTTATTTTAACTTTTAACCTTAAATCAACAAACAATTATCAAATTATCAAAACCAACACAATTTTCGTTTGTTGTGATATTCTGTGTCAGTTTGTCTCATCAGACTTGTTGTGAACAGGCCTTTAGACTTTTAACCCGTATGTTTTTTTTTAATAACCTGTAACCTCTCCAAGCTACCTTGTGACCTGCAACCACTCTTGCTTCCCTGTCTTTTTTCTTTATAGCCATCTAATATATTTTTCTCTTTTTTTTTTTCCAGGCCACTTGCAGACAGTGAGAAGCTTCCAGTGAGGACCCATCGTCCAGAGGTGCTGAAGAGCCCTGCGGAGGACAGAGACGACAACACTATCCCGCAGGAGACCAAGAAGAAGAGCAGCAAGGACAAGAAGGAGAAGAAGAAAGACAAGGAGAAGGACAGAAAGGTCAGATTTTCTAGAAATATAAACCAAATTTCTGTAGTTGAGCAATACGAGCGGGTTTTAAATATACAAATGGAACATAAGTATGTGTACATTTGTGTTTATTTTGTTGCACACAAATCATTAAAGTTTTTGACATTAGAGACCAAGGTTTTTACTGAGAGGATCTCCTTTTAGCACCCCATAATTCGGAAAAAATACTGTGAACAGACAAAAAAATCTCCATTTATATAGTATACAATATTGTATATGTATATTCTATAAAATCTATAGACAAATCATTTATGAAAAAAATCCTTCAGTAAAAATCTTCAGAAAACAGAACCGAATAAAAAGCTTGATGTGGTGAAGTGGAGATTTATGACTTATGATTTATGTATGATACAAATATGTACTGTAATTTAACTCTAAAGACAAATTGTTAAAGAAATGCAACAAAATAAATGCATAAAAGTGTCATTTTGATTATTTTCTTTACATTAGATTAAAAAAAACTTAATGAAACACACAAAATATCAAATTTCAGGTGCGTTTATCCACGTAATATTCATGTAGTGTTGGTTTGGATGTTTTGTAGAGGAGCAAAGAGGACAAGAAGAAAAAGAAGAAGCACAAAGATGTGGAGGAGGAGCTTCCCGAGTCCCTGCCTGAAGAAGTCGTCCAATCAGAGGAGACCAAAGAGGTGGCAGTTCCGCCCACATCTGCTGATGTATGATTTGGTTTTGCACTAATTGTTACAAATGCTAGTCTTATGCTGGCTTCACACCAAACATGGAATTAAGTACTCAAGTGAGTAAATTACATCCAAAGTCAATGTAAATGCGCAAATTTAGGGAAATTATCACCACACTTTGAAAATGATGCAGAATATTTGACGCATTTGCCACATATGTGCAGATATTTGACACATGTTTGCCTAAATTTTCACGTCTACCGTGAAAATTTGCTTACGTGAGTAAACTGGAGTGAGTGATGTGGTGCTCCGCGTTTGGTGTGAACCCAGCGTTTTTCCCTCCTCATCACTAACGTTTGCTGTTGCTTTTTTATACTGCTTTGAAATATTCCATTACTTTGTTTACTTTAAATTAGACATCATTTTACTATATACAGTTTAAATTAATAGAAAAGGAAGCAAGAGAGATTTGTTTTTAGTGGCAACCTGCTTGCCATTTAGGGGGTGTTTAATATTTCAAATTAGACTGTTGTTCATTTAATCCTTTTATGCGTTTTAAACTGATTCAATAGTTAGTTTTTCATATATATATATCAATTTAAATGTCTCGTCCACATGCATTTTAATTTATTAGATTATTATTAATTAACATGTGCTGGATAAGTTGGCGGTTCATTCCGCTGTGGTGACCCCAGACTCTATTAAAGGGACTAAGCCGAAAAGAAAATGAATGAATGAACATACTGATTTGATGAAAATGTGCGCAAGTTTTAGAGCTATATTTTATAGAAAGGTTATGCCGAGTTCAGACTGCATGATTTTCAAAGTAGTCATGTCACAGATGTTTTCTCACTGCATGACTATCTGGGGTAGCATTTTGTCGGTACTTTGTTTGCACTGCAAGATGGATCGGCAAAAGAAAGTTTCACACTGCATGATTTTACAATTGGAAGTATCCCTGACAAATTTTGTCTCAGTCTGCAAACTACATCTCACAACCAAACCCATGCGAGGAGTAGGGTTGTAACAATATACCGGTATGACGGTTTACCACGATTTGAACGTGCACGATTATCATACCATGAACAATTGCATATCAACGGTTTTAACCCTTAAAGACCGAGACAGCCGCCCGCGGCTAAAAATAAGTAACGTTATTGCTCTTAAATGTTTAATAACTTTTAATCCGCTGATCCGATTCATACAATTCAAAGATTGGCATAAAGAAGAGAATCTCAGCTTTCCAGTGCTGTATCACATAACATTCGCAGACTTTCAGAGGCTCCGGAATCAGTGCGGTTACGTCATCAACATTTGACAACGCTGATTTGACAAAGAAACGCTCGTCACTGTGTCTCCGGACAAATCAGACATGATACATCGATGCATTGTCCCTCCTCCATGCCCAGATTGGTTCAAACTCGCTATATCACAACCAATAAGCATAGGTTTCACTTTTGTTTGTGGACTAAGCTTTTTGAACAACACGGAATGAGAGATGCATACATACATTTATGCGCAGCTAAATAAAACGCAAAAAAAAAGTTTTGCATGAAATAATTCTCATACTAAGTACTTTTGCATGCACAGCAGCACAGAAACATGACAAAACAGTGACACAGCAAAGACGAACTGCTGCTCTTGCTGTTTTCAAAAGACGCAAATGAAGATGCAGCTGTTTGTCTGCATTGCAGACAACCATATCCATATCCATAGACAACCATATCCATGCTGGCACATAAAACCTAAGGATGTTCCATAATGAATCTAGTTTCGTTATGTAACTATTTATAGTATAGTAAATATTTATATCTATTTTTTACTGAGGATTTGCACCATGTTTATTTGGACTTTATTTGGACTTTGACACATTATTTATTATTTTCTTATTTTTATTTGTTCATTGTAAGTGGTGTTGTTTATAGTAACTAAAAATATATTATTTGGAAAAAGTCAAATTTGCTTCACTGTTCTATTATTTTGTAACATTTGTAACATACCGTATACCGCGAAACCGTCAAACCGTGGTATTGTTTTAGACGATTATCATACCGTGAAAAATTCATACCGTTACAACCCTAGCGAGGAGTGACCTGAAAACAACACAAGGTCATGTAGTATATCTTTTGTTATCCTAAAGATATACTAAAGATGCTTTATCCTAAAGTTATACTAAATGGTGGTGGTGTGAAGAGACCCCCCTCATGATTGTGAAGCACTTTGGGTGTATGGCCTTACACAATAAATGCGCTATATAAATAGACATTACATTACATTAGAGGGGTAGAAAATGTGCTTATTTTGCTCACCTGGCCTTTGGAAGGGAGAACAGACATGGATGCTCCTGCCAAATTTACACTAGTTTTTCCTCCATTTTTTGCGTCTGAATAAACTGAAAATAAGCACTTTTAACTGCTCTATCAACCTCCCTCTGACCTGCAGATACCCATACTAGTGACTGCTGCTCTCTCATTGGCTGTAGGTAGTTGTTATTTTCAATAAGAACACATTTCACACGGCTTGAGATGAATCGCAGACAGCTCCAGATATTTAGCATGCCAAATATCTCGCGGGTTGTTCATTCATTCACACTGTGTGATTGTTAGTCGTGAACGAGCAACAATTTGCCTATGATTTCAGGCATTTGTCTGCGATTTCTCAAAACCTGTCAGCTAGTCAAAATCTGGGCTAAAATCATGCAGTCTGAACTCGTCATTAGAAAACTCATTTAGGGGCTGGTCACACCGAACATGCGTTTACATTCCAAAAACACAAGGTCCACCTCACTGCCTTTTTTGTTGACTAGAAAAAAAGAAGCGCGTGCGCTTTTTATGTCACTAGACAATGACTGAATCAGCTGCGTAATGTGCGAGAGTGTTGATATTAATATAATTTTAATATTTAATAATATTGTGAAATTCAAGATGTATGTGTCATACAGCACCGGATAATTCAAAGCAGCAACCACAAGTCTCTTCTCCATCTTCAAAAGTCTCCGTTGTTGTCTTGACAACGCAAACACTGCTGGCACCTCAATGGAAACCCCGCCTCTGCTTTCCTTTGATTGGACAATGAAAAAGACACAACTGACGTAATGCGCTTTTTCCCGCTCAGAGTTGACTTTTTTCAACTGTGATTGCACGGCGTGGAAGGGCAAAAATGCGAGGGACAGCAAGCGGTTAAAAGGCTAGCATAAGCAGTGCACAACGCTCGTGGCCATTAGTAAGCCATTAAAAAAAGGCACCTCTCAACACAAAGTGTGTTCTGTGTGATCGGCCCATTAGAAAATAAATGTTTGTATCAAATTAATGCAATTACAGGTGTGATATCGCAAAAATAACTAGAATTTTTTTCTGTATTTTTATAATATGAAGCACAATAAAACATGAAATGTATATTTATTTTGAGCAAAATATCTGTACACTTGATTAAATTGTGGTATAAATTTATCTCTTGCTTTTAGACATCTTAACCTTGAGAAATGTATTGATTGCTTAATTTTTAATATTTGTCAGATCTATAATTGAAAAAAGATCTGTATTTATTTAAAAAGGGGGGGGGGTTGTCAGTAATGCATTTGTGGTAAATTAAACAAATTAAACGTTAATAATAAGGCTTAATCAAATTTATTAAATGTATGCATTTCGTTTTTCTTAAAGTAAATTCTCTGCTTCTGCTTTTATTTAATTTGTGGAAAATTTGTTTTTTTTTCTTACATGGGAAAATAATAGATTTGTTCTTTATTTTCAATTTAATTATGAAAATCTATGTATAGTCAAACCTGTTCCACCAGGCGGTGCTGTATTGACATAAATGTGCATCATATTTCAACTAATTATGTTCACAAGAGTATAAATTCATTCGATAGTGATATAGTTTAAAGGAAATTACACATTTATAATGTAAAATGAACCTGACTCATTGACACGGTGATGGAATATCTGCTCATGTTGGTTTTTCTGAGGTTGTCAGAGTGTTTGTTTTGAGCCGAACAGGGCTGGACTCATTTCCCCCACCCTGCCTCTTGTGTTGTAGGCCTCGGATCTGGATTTCTGGCTCTCTAGCGCTCCTGTTCCCCCCGTGGCCCAGGTCCGGTCCCTCACACTCTCTCTGTCCTCCCCCTGCTGTCGTCTTCCCTTGTTTTTTAAAATCAGTCTGTGTTTTTCTCTCTTTCACTGGTGTTCCCAGGTCTCGCACATTTCTGTGCGTTTGCCTTAGCTTGTTTTTCCCCTCCAGATGCATGCGTGCACGTGCCGAGGTGTATGATTGATGTGAAAAATGTCTCCTGTACAATCTTTGTCATCGCAAACAGACAGATTATTGACAGTTCTTGCGGTTCCAGTTGAGCAGCTCATGTGCACAAAGCCTAAAGCAAATGTAGGTCACCCAAGACAGAACAAACTTGATGTTCTGTGTTTTTTTGGAAACCGGACAATTGAAACTGAGAAAATGCCATCGACTTTTGTTGAGGGTGTCTAAACTTGTAATAGTGAACACTTATTTAGCTTAAATGCGTTTCAGAGCTTCAGGCCCTCATTCGCCTGGCTACCTATATCAGAATCATAGCATAACATCAACTGAGGGAATGCTAAAATGGTAAAGTTTCCAAAAATGTTAGTTGTTTTAATTCATTTGAGCAGTGTTAGCAACATGCTAACATCATAAATTAAGCTTGCAGAATGTTAAGCATGCCAGAAACCTGCCATCATGTAATATGTTCATTTAGATTAGCAAGGTGTTAAATATATTTTAATATGTTCATAAAGCGCACTAAGCCTGTTAAAATGTAGAAAATACTAATTTTAGCGCTCTAAATCTTGTGTAAACATGCTGTGTCTTGCTAATAACATGGTAATCAAGTCTGAAATATGTTAAAAATGTTAGCCAAGGTATAAATATGACAAATCATGTTAGCAGCATGCTAAAACAATGCTATACATGTCCCCTGTTGTTTTTTTATAATAGTTAGAATAATGAACCTGTTAACATCATGTTAAGCGTTAAAATATTAGCCATAAGCATGTTGGGGTGTTAGCAATGTCTGAACCTTGTTATAAACATTCTAATTCCTGTTTTAATTTAAAACACAATAGCATCATACCCATGTGCTAAGAAATTAACTAGAAATGAGCTAGCACCATGCTAAAATGTGTTACACACCATGTTTACAATGTGTTAAAACATGCTAAAATTCTACTTTCTTTCTTTCCCTTCTTTATTTTTTTCTTTATTTACCTTCTGTCTGTCTTTTTTCTTTCTGCCTTGTTTTCTTTACCTTCTTTATTTTACTTTCTTTAATATCTTTTTTCTTTCTTTCTTTTTTCTTTCTTTCTTTCTTGACCTCATTTCTTTTCTTTCTTTACCTTATTTCTTTTTGTCTACTTTCCTTTATTTCTTCATCTTCTTTTCTTTCTTTACCTTTTTTATTACTTTCTTTTTTCATTACTTTTTCTTTAACTCTTTTTTTCTTTCTATCTTTATTCTTTCTTTCTTCCTTTTTTCTTTACCTTCTTTCTTTCTTTACCTTCCTTCTTTTTTACAGTCTTTCTTTACCTTCTTTGTCCTTTCTTTCTTTCTTTCTTTAACTTATTTCTTTGTTTTTCTTTCTTTCTTTTTTCTTTCTTTCATTCATTCATTTTCTTTTCTTTCTTTCTTTCTTTCTTTCTTTCTTTCTTTCTTTCTTTCTTTCTTTCTTTCTTTCTTTCTTTCTTTCTTTCTTTCTTTCTTTCTTTCTTTCTTTCTTTCTTTACTTTCTTTCTTTAACTTCTTTCTTTCTTTATATCCCTTTCTTTCTTTCTTTCTTTCTTTCTTTCTTTCTTTCTTTCTTTCTTTCTTTCTTTCTTTCTTTCTTTCTTTCTTTCTTTCTTTCTTTACTTTCTTTCTTTAACTTCTTTCTTTCTTTATATCCCTTTCTTTCTTTCTTTCTTTCTTTCTTTCTTTCTTTCTTTTGCTTTTCTTTCTTTACCTTCTTTTTACCTTAACTTTATCTTTTTTCTTTTTTTTCTTTTTCACCTTTGTTGCTTGCTTGCTTTTGTTCTTTCTTTCATTTCTTTTTTTTTCTTTCTCATTTATTAACTTTCTTTTTTCTTTACCTTTCTTTTCTTTACCTTTCTTCTTTATTACCTTTCTTTTCTTTCTATATCTTTTCTTACTTTGCCTTTCTTTTCTTTCTTTACCTTTATTATTTTTTATTTTTTACCTTTCTTTCTTTCTTTCTTTCTTTCTTTCTTTACCTTCTTACTTTTTTCTTTCGTCAACACAAATTCAAACTTGAAAAGCTGTTTCAAATATATAGGAAAAGAATTGTCAAGCCTTTTTCATATAATAAAATACAATACTCTTTATTTTTTTACCTGTCCAAATCCACCTTTCTCGCTGCAGGTTAACCACTTTTCCGTCTTTTAAATGTTTTTTCCCTCCCAATGTGACAGTCCAACGCCATCAAATCAGCTTTTGTTCATCTCGGTCGTGATGTTGTTGATTCTGCATGCTTCATATTGTGTAGACGGTCACTCTGGGGTCTCTGTGGACAGTTTGGAGAGCAGGATGGTCTTCTGCTGGCCGGTGTGTTTTAATGATGGATGTTTGTTCACAGGTAGTGACGGTGTCCTCGTCTGCTGCTGCTGCTACTGTCGACTCGAGCTCTGCAGCTGCTGCAGAGTCTGAGCCTGAGGAGCTCAAAGACACTGAGCCAGATGACACTGTGAGTCTTTTTTTGTACATGTAGTGCTGTTTGTTTCACCAATAGTGGTGTCTATAATTAATGTTTATTAGTTATATGTTTAAAATAAATGTTATGGGTGTGTTACATAACTAAATTCTCCTATATACACGCATACACACTTGTTATAACATATACATTACATTTTCTTTTAAGTATTTAAAATGAACATTATATTAAAACAGTAAATATTAGCTTTTTAGACAAAGCATTAATAAAAATAAAACATTAGATAGTCAATTTAAACATTAAAGAAATATTTAATTGTTTAAGACAGACATGAACACAATACAGCAAAAATGCAGATATTATTGAAATTTTTGAAATTTAAACAAGAGTGTGAATTTGCATTTTACATAATTACAAGTATAAATAAATAATAATGGATATATATATATATATATATATATATATTAGGGCTGTCAAAATTAGCGCGTTAACGCATGTGATTAATTTAAAATATTAACTTGTTCAGTAATATCTTAATCATAAAAGCTGAGTATTAAGGTGTCCATGTGAATGAAAGTGCAAGATGAATTTGCAAGCTGTCAAAGACATTTCTCTGCCCTTAAGCTGCATCCCTCAAATGTTTCATTAAGTTTGACGTGTTTCCCCCCTTTTGCAAAGTGTCTGCTTCACGTTCCTCTGTCAGAATTCTTGCTTGTTAAATACAGCCATACTTTAGAATGCTTAGTTTAAACAAAGTTGATGAATGTGATCTTGCGAGTTAATGAATCTGAAGGGATCCCTTTCGCTCATCGGCACTGCGCGCATTGTCTCTCTCTCTCTTCTGTCGCTCTCTCTCTTCTCTCTTCTCTCTCTCTCTCTCTCTCTGTCTCTCTCTCTCTCTTCTCTCGCTCTCTCTCTTTCCCTCTCTCTGTGCTCGTGTGTGTGTGTGTGTGTAGTCCACTTAGAATCCAACATGGAAAGCATTTTTGATTGTTATTGGCATGGATTGTTTTGAAATTTAAATGGCACTTACATGCCTGTGTTTTTGATTTTACATTTGTCTCTTCTTATTTATTTTATTAAAAAAATATATAAATATATTTTAATAAAATAAACATGAAATCAATTAAGTGATCTTCCATTCCCATAAGGCACTATGACTGTTTATTGCAAAATATTAAAAATATATAAGTAATCTAATTCACTGACATATTACCAGTCAGTGTTATATTGTTTATCGAGTGTGCAGTAATTTATAATGCATCATGAGATGATCAGGTCATATAATCTGTTTCTTTGTCTTTGTCATTTTTTTTCTTCCTATAATTTAGGACCTAAAATTCATGCAATGTTGTGATTTTAATCTGGGAACTGTTTAAATCAAGTAAAAATGCTACCCAGTATGCTAAATAAGGGATATATTTTTGGCTTACCTGTTTAGAAATCATCTAAACACAAGAAGAAGAAGCAGAAGAAGGAAAAGGAGGAGAAGGAGAAGAAAAAGAAGAAGCGTCACCACCACCATCATCATCATCACAGTGACGCCGGTGCGGAGGATTCAGTGCAGAATGGCACCGTAGAGGACGAGGAGCCGCTGCCGGTCAGTGTCTCAATAACAAAACAATCCCACAAGGCCTGTAATTTCCTATATAAGACCCCCTATATTACACCTGCTTTTAAGATTCAACTTTTTTCAGTCTAATCAAAGGTGGAAAGCACTGTAGACTGGTGTAAAAGGGGTGGTACGTTTTTCTGACCAAGTGCACTTTTGCATGTTATTACCTTGGCTAACCATTCCCCCTCTTACCATTAGTTCGCTATTAGGGAATGATGAGCAAAAAGAAAGCCCTGAGCCCTACATAATATTGAGTTTCATTTGGAAGTACTTCACCATACTGAAATAATAATCTCAGCAACTTCCAGTTCACATGGCCTTTAAATGAAAACAAACTAGTGACCTAAATGCATTTGATCGTGTACTAATCCAACCTCCGTCTTATTTCAGCCCATGTCCAACTACTCTCTGCTGGCTGAGAACTCCTACATCAAGATGGTGAGTGTTTTAGATGTGAATGGGTCTGATGTTTGTATCGGGCTTCAGCATGAAGCTCAGGCTGTAATTAAGATGAACTGAGCCAGAGACAGGACTGCTGCTGCTGTTTTTGCTGAAGCGGCTCATTGCTTTAAGTGATTCTGGTCTGTAGGCTGTGAATGATGTGCTGTTGTTGTTGTGTCTCTGTGTTTTAAGATGAAAGAAGATGCTGATCAGGTAAACACAGGAACACCAATACTGATGGTGCTACTAACTTGCTGTGATGCAGACTTTAGTCACAGTAGAGCCATTTAAATATATATATAGACACACGTTGTGAAAACAAAGCTGAGAGATCAATCTATCAAGATCCGCATAAATGGACGTGTTTGTGTAACTGTTAATAATACAGTTATTTAGGCCATGCCCACACAAAAAAAACATACATTTTCAAACCGATGTTTGAAGTGGATACATTTGAAAATGCTGTTTTTGTGTTGCAGTGTGGGCTGCGAAAACGGTGGCTTTCAAAAACTGACGCATTTCAGTCATGTGACCAACATGACTAAACATGGTGGATGACATTTTAAAGCAGATGTTCGTTTTAACAGCTTTATTAAAGGTTTATGTCAGTTTGTACATGCTTCACATTGCCTTTCTGCAAAGGACGTGGAATGTTTACTTGTAGCAGCTGTTCAGCGGCGAAAACAGACCACAGTTGCAACATTTTGCTGCGTTGTTTCAAAGAGACAGAAAGTAAATAAACGGCAGGCGGATGAGACACGAGTAAAAGCATCTTACATCTGTGACATCACGCAGTGACATGAACGAAAGGGTCGTTTTAGTTTTGATGAAGGAAAGAAAATGGACATATATGGATTAGTGTAGACGTAGCCTAAAAACCAACAAAAGAATTGGAGCGTTTTTTACTGCGTTTACACCAGATGAGGCACGCACAAATAAATCATGCTATTTGCGTGTAAATAGACGCATGAACATTTTAAGTGTACTCGCTTCATTCATGTGTCAATTTCACTTCACGGTAGACGCGGATTAGCATCATGGGCAGGGCTTCTGTCTGGCCTGTGACTCTAGCTTTGTTTCTAAATGGCTAACATGAATTTTATTAAGAGAACAGTTGTGTTTATGTGCTTTAGTAAGGCAGAAAAACAGCATAGATTCGTTCTGCGCCATGTCTGAGTGCACTAGATAATTTTAGAGGTGCACCCAGCTCTTTGAGTTCATGAACTCCTCCAGAAACTTAACAAGGATGATGGAGGCTTTTAGCGGTGCTTCAGAATGAACTGAGCTGTTTGAGGAACTGCTGTTTGATGTTGGCAAGATGATTTCCTCTCGGGACACCAACAACAGGCAATAATCACTCACCTACAAGAGCAAGCTCACGATTGGTTTACGATTGGAATGTCTGCTGAAGTTTAGATTTTCGAGCAAAGTGTGCGATACGCAAGCAAAGCACGTCAAACGTGCAAAACATTCAATTTGTACCGCTTCTTTCGCGCCGCCTCATCAGTGTGAATCAGGATGTCTCTTTGCGTCTTTGCATTGACTTAACATGTAAATCAGTCGCACTTGACGCTTCATCAGCATCTGGTGTGAACACAGCATCAGATGAAAACGCCATTTTCAAAATTTATCCAAATTAGTGTAGACGTAGCCAAAGAAATGTATTATCATATGTGTAATATATTTCTAAATATAAATTAATTAAAATATACTTATTTTTTATGCATTATACACTGATTTGTTTATGTATAAATTGTTTATAAAACAAAATGTTAATAAAGTATCTGCTATTTATACATATACATACATGCCAATAATAAGGATTCAGTAACCTTGTTTCGATGTTTCTTTCATTCATTCAAATAAATTGTTCTTAAGATGTATACTAGTTAAAACTGGATAGTATTGCAATAAAAAATGAGCATTTTCATCTGTAAGATCACCGCTTGAGGAACCAACACATATAGATCCACACATCATTTTAAAGAAACTGTATTTGCATCCCTCAGTCTTGTGTTTGCTTATGTCAGATTACACACTATGGCGTCTACTGTGACTAATATCTGTTGAGTGCTGAAAGAGATCTGGCTTAAACTCTACTTGTTCAAAACACTTGTAAAGCTGATGATGATGAAACTCTCGGGTCTGTTTTCCTCTTCGCCGTCTTTTCCTTCTGTTCTCGGTCAGCCGTGTGGTGTTGCTGTGATCTCCACAAATTACCCTATTCATCCGTTTCTGACTCATGAAAGTGTTTCTCTCTTCTGCAGGTCTGTGACATTCAGGGCAACCATCAGGACGAGAGTAAAGTGGTGGTGTCGGTCATCTTCGAGAACAAGAGCGACAGCTTTCTTAAGTCCATGGAGTTCAATGTGCTGGATTCGCTCAACTCCAAACTGCAGCGGCCGGACGGAGCAGGACCCCACGACGGCCTCACCGTCCCCTTCCAGTTGCCGCCAGGTCACTGCAGTCCTCATTTTCTTTGACCAGTCATATCAATTTGGCCAATTTTTTTGTCAACAATGTTTTAGTGACAGAATAGACACAACAATTAAAAACTATTAATAAGGAAAGTGTTCTAAATGACAAACTATAACAAAAAGTTTAATAAATAATGCAATAAATTAAACAATATAATGAAAAGTTAAAAACCCTGCTATTCCTTGAATTAAATTTTAAAAGACCTGAAACAAAAACTATTCATTTTAAGTTCGTTTTGGCAGTTAAAAGCAAAAAAAAATATATATTTTTTTTCTTAAACATTTTTAAGCTACCATTGGTCCGTGATGATTAGGCAGTCGGTGGCTGTCTCCTGGAACTCTGCCTTTAACATGCTTCATATTGGGTCAGGAGAAAAAGATCCAGCACAAGAACACCAAATTAGCAACAAGAATAAACTGGAGGGTTGATCCAGAGCTGATATAGATTTACGATTGCTCGCGGAATCCACATTGCAGAATCACAGCTGCATCGCGCCATGTCTGATAAAGCTCTAAACATTGTTATTTTTGCCCTCAAACAAAGAACGAGAAAGAACTTTGTTTGAAGTGTAATGGGGTCTTAAGGATGGACAGTACTGAAATCCAGGCAGAATGAATGTCCTGCACTAGAACACTCATTTTGACCTTTTTAAAATGTTGTAGTTTACTAACCTTGCTAAAATAAAACTCGTATACTATGTTGTCTAGCAGCTTTCTGCTAACAAAAGAATAACTTTCTGATAGCAGCTTTACATCAGACATACTTTTTAAAATGACATATTCAGTGCAGCTTTCCTTCTTGCTGGAGAAAGTGAGGTGCGTGCCTTCGCTGGCAGTGTAGTAACTCATACATATTTATAGGTTGTATTACCGAAAAGATCATAATTTTGCGGTAGTGACTTCATAAAATATGACCACAGACATTCAAAGTTTAATACTAATATCTCAATAGAAGCTTTGAATGTGAATATAACGTGTATGAGAACGCTCAGAATTACTGCTATGGCCATTCCAGTACTAGAATTCTGACTGATTTTAGTTTTCTCGTGTTTTGGTAGGGGTGTCAAATGAGGCCCGTTTCGTATTCTCGGTACAGAGTATCGTCATGCCGCAGAAACTGAAGGGAACCCTCACGTTTATAGTTAAGGTGAGAAGATGACGTACATTTGCATACGCTTTCAGTGTGCGAGTTGGTGTTGTTGACGTGTCTGTTTCTTGTTTTTCTGGAACAGACGGATGAATCCTCCACTCACGAGAAACTGGACTTCAAACTGCACTTTACATGCACGTCATACCTGATCACCACTCCCTGCTACAGGTGAGGATGAGTTTCCACAAACTGTGGGTTTAAATATGTCTGTAATCATTTTCATATTCTTTCATTTTAATGTGTATTCGCTTTTATTATATGGTGTATGGACTCTTTCACAAGCCAGTTATGACACGTTTAACGGTCATCATAATATTAAATCCTTGAAAATGTTTTATATTTAGATTTTTTTTTAAATGTATAAACATTTATGTATATATTATATCATATTTGCATCAGATTACAAAAAATGAATTACCATCATGCAAGGTGTTTCTAATGTAGCATCTATGGATAGGACAGTAAATCTGACATTATTCTCTCTTCTGGTTGCCGTCATCAGTCTCACACTGTTTTTCACCTTTTTCTAAAAGTCTTGATAACACCATCATGGATACAGCATTTCTGACACTTTCCTTTATTTCATGGATTTGAGTTATGACTTTCAGTAATGCAATACTACTTGGTATCATGATACTTCAGCTGGTATAGTATCGTTACATGAATCAGTGGTATCATGACAATATATATGTATGTATCTTTATCTTTATTTTTATTGTACGATTGAAAAATAAATAATCTTTGTTAATATTTCTTTATTGTTCACTGTTTGTTTTACAAAGTAGTAGTAGTATTATTATAATACGTCTATAATAATACACTGTATATTCATTTTATTTTGTACTTTAATCAGTTCTTTTATGAAACCGCAAAATATTACAATGATAATGGCACATTTTACGTATTTATATGCTGCACACTATATACTACGTCATAATGCTGAGCTAAAACAAAACAATTCTTGCAATTTTTTGGTACAACTTAATTGTGTTAAGTTCAGTCCAGTTAAATTTGTTATGTTAACTTAATTTATTTGTGTTGGGACAACATTGGCGAGTTGTGTGGAACCAAGCACTTTTAACAGTGCTGCATACGTTCACTCTGCGTTCAGCTGTATTGTACTTTAAGTAATGTAAATGTAAGAGTTTTATTAATATTTCTCTTTTACATTAGTTTTGTTTTCTTTTATGTTCGTATGTGTCTTTTATTTATATATATATATATATATATATATATATATATATATATATATATATATATATATATATATATATATATATATATATATATATATATTATTAATAATGGATAAGAAGTTGTTTTATAATTAGTTTAGTTATGTATTGGATTAGGGCTGCTTGTAATCTTTTTAAACTTAATCTGTGTCATCAGCCTGTGATTTGACGTGATCTTGTGTTTTTCAGTGATGCATATGCAAAGCTGCTGGAGTCGGGCGACCTGAAGGGCAGCTCTCTGCGGCTCGAGGGGGTCAACATGCCCTTCCACCACCTGCTGGCCAGGATCTGCTTCCACCATCACTTCTCTGGTGCGCTGCCTTCACACAGACGCCTCCGGTAGTGCTACAAATAAGGGAAAAAGCCCACTAACCTCTTTCTTCTTGCTGTTGCAGTTGTGGAGAGGATTGACTCCTGCGCCTCTATGTACAGCAGGTCCATCCAGGGTCACCACGTCTGTTTGCTGGTCAAAAGTGTGAGTTTTGTACATTAACATTTAAACTACTTTTTAAGGGATGCACAATCTATTTACCAGCACATCGATATTGTGTGATATTTTCCGAAAAAATGTATCAAAATAAATGATCAACCAATAGATTATGAGTTTTCTCCTCTAATTATGTGATAGCTGGCAAACTCCTGTGAAGATTTTTTTTTATTGCTCTATATCCCTTGTGTATTTTTCAAGTTGACCACCCTTTGTTGTGTTAGTGGCTGTTTTTGCCCCATTGACTTCCATTATAACAATATTTTTTGCATGCATTCATGATTGTTGGTGGTTTTCCCTGTTGGGAAGAAGTTAAATTTGTCATTTATACTGTTGATCATTAGTTGACAGCATTACCCTTTACAAAGGGCTATGCAAAAACATTTCTGGCTTTTATATATTTATGTAGTTTTGTGTCGTAAAACAGCAAATCAAGCTTTTTTTGCACTGCAACTGTTGATCAACAGTAAAAAATGGGTAATTTGACCCCTTCCCAACAGGGAAAACCCCCAACAATCAAGATTCCATGAATATATGGTGTGATAGCTTTGCTATCAAAAATGTGGTTATAATGGAAGTCAACAGGGCAAAAACAGCCACCAACATAATAAAGGGTGGTTAAAGTGTATTGAGTTTTTGAAAACTTTTAAAGTATTTTCCCAAAATATGTGTGAGAATATCATTTGTCACCAAAAACCATTACATTTGTTAAAACACAGAGAAAGTTGTGGCCAAATTAAGACTCAAAATCAGGGTTAATTTCGTTGACGATTTTTGTCAATTTTCGTGACGAACAAGTTTCTACTGACAGAAACTAAATAAAAATTAGGCGATGATGAAGACAACTATAAAATAAATATATACTGACATTTTCGTTGACTAATATAAACAAGACAAGAAAGTGATTGAGGGATGTTTTTTTGGAAAACATATCCGATCAGAATTAATCTGTGAGTGTGTTGTATGACACACACACACACACACACATTTGAAAAATAACTGATTTACAGTAGATGCAGATGCGATTACAGTATCACCTATAGGGGCGTCAGTCTGTCTGATTAAACTATGTATAATGAGATGGCAACAGCTGAGAGAAAAAGAAGATTCGCGTTTGATGTCAAGAAAAAAAGACTTTAAACTGTATGGGGTCGGAAAAAGCTGATAAAAACAACAAATGTAAAATGACATCAGCATGCCAGGGAATCAGCTCGAACTTCATGGTAAACTCTATCTTTTTTATTTACCCGAGTTTGTGTTTTTGCTTAACTGAAACGATGTAGTAAAAACAAAAATCCTTAGCATTTAGCCTAAGTCTCAAATTTCATTCATAATAGTGCTTAAATGGTCTTTAAAAGTCTGAAATTAAATCTGTTGAAACCTGCAGAAACCCTGTACCAATGGTTCACCATATTCAGGCCTGATTTTGACAATTGAATGTTTGTTTTATTTCTGCTAACGACACATCTCCATCTTTCAGTCTGATCAGACCGTCTCCATCGACGCCAAGTGCGACGAGCCATCGCTGCTGGGGAATGTGTTGGATGAGATCAAGCAGACCTTCTCGAAATGCTGACTGTGACCCGCGGCCCACAGCACCCCGAAACCCCCCTGACCCCCTCTCAAAACCCAGCGCCAGAGCGGAGACTCATATTCCTCCTCTCTCAACCTCTTCCTTTGTATTTATTGGATCGGTCGTTCTGCTGTTCTTCTTTTAAGACCACACATTTCCAGCCCGTCTCTTGCCTTTGTTTGACGTGCATTTGGCTTTTCTGATCTCGCTCCTCATCCTCTGCTTATCCTTGTCTTTCCATTGTCTTAACGGTTCATGACGTTTTGTCTTGAGAACTGGATTTTTTTGGTCATTGTCGATGCTTTGAGTTGTGTGCTTTTTTTTTCTTCTTTTTTTTCTTTTGTGTTGTTTGTTGCTTTTTTTTTTTTCTGTCCTAAACTCCATCAGCGCCTTTTTCAGCATTAAACAGCGTGTCTGTCCGGGTTCACAGTGTATGCGTCTTTGTCTTTTTCAAATGTTAACCAGATTACCATGCCCCATCCTAACACACTTAACTGCCTCTGAGCACGAACTAACGTCAAAATTCGGTTGCCCATTTCGTTGATACTGGTACACAGGGTTTCTTTCTAGGCCACGTTTATAGTTGCAGTCCCACGTGATTTCAAATGACGTTTCACTACTGTTTGTGTCCTGCATCACTACCTACAACAGGATATAATTCACAAAAATGCACACTACTAAACCTTGCTCAGGATAATGGCGGTTAAAGAAGTGACGGAATGGAAAAAAATAACTCGTTTATTTGACATTTCTCCACCAGGATGAATATAAAACTGCTAGGTTTTTTGTTTTCTTAAAATAATTTCTGCTTCAGTTTACGAAAAACAAAAATACTTACAGTTGACGTGTGTGTGTGCCTGTGTCCGTGCGTGCGTGCGTGCGTGTGTGTATGTGTATACATACACAAACATATACATATGTATGTGTATATATGTATGTATATACATGTAAGTACACGTGTGTGTGTTTGTGTGTGTATGTATATATGTGTGTGTGTGTGTGTGTGTGTGTATATATATATATATATATATATATATATATGTATATATATATATATATATATATGTATGTACACAGACATTGTATACATACATACACACACACACACACACACACACACATATATATATATATATATATGTATGTGTGTGTATATATATATATATATATATATATATATATATATGTATGTATGTATGTATATATGTATGTGTATATATATATATATGTGTATGTGTATGTGTGTGTGTGTGTGTGTGTGTGTGTGTGTGTGTGTGTATATATATATATATATATATATATATATATACACATACATACACACACACGCATACACATTGTCTACATATTTAGAAACATTGGATGTATGAACTGAAGTACATTTGAAGTTATTATTTTCAGGTATCGCTAAACATATTCTGTAACAAAACATTGATTTAGCACACTGTCAGTATCTCCTGTTTCTGGAAAGTATTACATTAAAAAGATCCCTTGTGTGTCTTATCTTAATATAATGCTGTTAAAGGGAGCCTAAAACAGAAATGTGCACTTTCTGTCTATATCACGTCTATCAAACGCCTCTTCGACCTCATCATCATGCTTCTTCAGCTGTTAAAACTGCCGTCTTGTACATTTGCAGATTTCAATGAATCTCTTTTCTCTGTTTGTTTGTTTTTATTTTAATATACTGTCAAATGCCTTGTTTCCACATTAATGAACTTGTACTGACTAATTCAGGCACATGCTGTAATTAATTCCTGTGTTTAACTGTCTGATCCAGCACGCTGTAGCGCTCGGTTGTAAGGCCACAACCAAAAAAAAATAGTGGTTTATCAGCTCACGAAACCTAACGTTATCCTGAGGGTAGCTTGCAAGTGTTTGACATCGAAAGAGTGAGTTCATCAACATGAAGTGACTTGAATAGCAGGTTAAAAGAACGTGGAATAACAACATCTATAGTGGTTTACAGGTCCTGGATGATGAAAAGCGACTGTAATTACTCAAGTCTCGATTTTTGTGCTACAAGTCACATTGAAATGTATAACATGCATGGGTAGGAATGTAAACTTTTGCCTACTTTTTTCTGTTATTTTGACTAATAGACGAACACTTGCATTGAAAAATTCCTTCATCATTCCTTGATTGTCACGATTATTTTCTAGATTCGTTTTTTTTACGTACAAGTTGGCTTCACCATATTACACCTTTTGATGTATTTTTATTTGTTGCGAGTACATAGACTTCAAAAAATGTCCTGGAATGTTTTTAAAAAGTTGCATTTTGCATTAAATTATTATTATATAAATATATGAAAATAAATACTTATATAAATATAGGGGGTTTGGGGGGATTTAGGGGGTCCGCATAGACATGAATACATAGCTGTTAAATGTGATTTAAGTGAAGTGGCCCAGCTAATCTAATAAGGTTTTCCCTCTGGCAAAGTTATAGTGCAGATATTGCTGGATTTGGCTTTATCATTAAATATACTCTCATTGCTCTTCGTTTGAAGGTACTGTCCAACTCCTTCATATGTATTTTCCGACTGTATGATGTAATATAATGTTTTAAGATGAATAAATGAGCTCAAAGAATGACCAATAATGTGCGAGAAGTGTTCTTGAGAGGCCCGTCTGGATAACGAATATGCTTTAGTTTTGTGTGTCCCAGTGAAGTCATAAGTGTATACATTTACACTCACCGGCCACTTTATTAGGTACACCTGTCCAACTGTTTGTTAACGCAAATTTCTAATCAGCTTATCACATGGCAGCAACTCAATGCGTGTAGGCATGTAGACATGGTCAAGACAAGCAAACGGAGCATCAGAATGGGGAAGAAAGGCGATTTTAGGTGACTTTGAACGTGGCATGGTTGTTGGTGCCAGACGGGCTGGTCTGAGTATTTCAGAAACTGCTGATCTACTGAGATTTTCATGCACAATCATCTCTAGGGTTTACAGAGAATGGTCCAAAAAATGTCTTCTTGATGTCAGAGGAGAATGGCCTGTGTGGTTCGAGCTGATAAAAAGGCAACTCAGATAACCATTAGTTACAACCGAGGTATGCAGAAGAGCATCTCTGAACACACAACACTTCCAACCTTGAGGCAGATGGGCTGGAGCAGCAAAAGACCACACCAGGTGCCACTCCTGTCAGCTAAGAAAAGGAAACTGAGGCTACAATTCGCACAGGCTCACCAAAACTGGTCATAAGAAGATTGGAAAAATGTTGCCTGGTCTGATGAGTCTCGATTTCTGCTGCAACATTTGGATGGTAGGGTCAGAAATTAGCATCAACAACATGAAAGCATAGATCCATCATGCCTTGTATCAACGGTTCAGGCTGGTGGTGTAATGGTGTGGGGGATATTTTCTTACCACACTTTGAGCCCATTAGTACCAATTGTTCATCGTGTCAATGCCACAGCCTACCTGAATATTGTTGCTGACCATGTCCATCCCTTCTTGACAACAGTGTACTTATTTTCTGATGGCTACTTCCAGCAGGATAACACGCCACATCATAAAACATGAATCATCTCAGACTGGTTCCTTGATCATGACATTGAGTTCACTGTACTCAAATGGCCTCCACAGTCACCAGAACTCAATCCAATATAGAACTTTTGGGATGTGGTGGAACAGGAGTGCTGGGTACTAGTAAGGTGTACCTCATAAAGTGGCCGGTAAGTCTTTAACTGCATGTTTGTCTTTGAAGATATACAGATGTTTCCTGTTTATAATCATGTGTGTGAACAAGTCTATAAATAACATCCTTTCTTCTCATCATTGGGCAGTAATATTTAGCATCTCATCAGTGTTTAAACGTGTTTATTGGGTTTACATTTACTCTTTAATCCAAAGCAATTTTAGAAGATAGGATAAAAGAATAGTGTTAATAGTGGATTTTAAACGTCCATATTGCATAAAACTAATTAATTTATTGTTTACCTTATGGACGAGGCAGTGGCGCAGTAGGTAGTGCTGTCACCTCACAGCAAGAAGGTCGCTGGGTTTCTGGTTCGAGCCTCGGCTCAGTTGGCGTTTCTTTGTGGAGTTTGCATGTTCTCCCTGAGTTCGCGTGGGTTTCCTCCGGGTGCTCCGGTTTCCCCCACAGTCCAAAGACATGCGGTACAGGTGAATTGGGTAGGTTAAATTGTCCGTAGTGTACGAGTGTGTGTGTGTGTGTAAATGAATGTGTGTGGATGTTTCCCAGTGATGGGTTGTGGTTTGGAAGGGCATCTGCTGCGTAAAAACGTGCTGGATAAGTTGGCGGTTCATTCTGCTGTGGCTACCCTGGATTAATAAAGGGACTAAGCCGACAAGAAAATGAATGAATGTTTAACTTATTACTTTAATACTAATATGAAGTTATATAGGATTATCCAGTTCTTGATGTGCGAGACAACGAGACAAATGCAGTTGTGATGGATGATGTATATTGGTTTCGGTTTATATATTTGGCCTATTATATATATATATATATATATATATATATATATATATATATATATATATATATATATATATATATATATATATATATATATGTGTGTGTGTGTGTGTGTGTGTGTGTGTGTGTGTGTGTGTGTGTGTGTAGATAGATAGATAGATAGATAGATAGATAGATAGATAGATAGATAGATAGATAGATAGATAGATAGATAGATAGATAGATAGATAGATAGATAGATAGACAGACATGTAATGTGGTTTATTTTAGGATAAATAAATTCACAATGTTTTATATTGAACCATATATTGAAACATCTGTTTATTTTCCAAAACAACTAAGTTAAGGTAAGGGATCAGAAAAATCTCAATCAGACGTGTTTTAATTTTTAAATGAGGGAAACAAACAAGTTACTGATGTGAGAACCTAAACTTTGTTGAAATTCTGTTAATTAGGCTGGCTTGAGAAACAAGCCAGACTACTGAAATCCTATTTAAACTTATTATTTTTTTTATATATTATTCTTCTTCTTCTTCTGAGACTAAAATTCAAAATCTATCTCCTCCTAGAGCTTTCGAGCTATGACCCCCAAACTCACACCAGACCTCCAAACTATTCTGACTCGGTATGCCATATCTTTTCCGACTGATCCGACTTTCGATTTTCCGAAAAACGTCCCGGGACCGTCGGAAAAATCCCATAGACTTAACATTGGACCAAACTTTGTGACCTCATAACTCTGCATCAGACTGTCACACAGGCTTCTAACTGGGCTCATTTAACTCAGACTACCTAACTGCCAATAACTGATGAGGTTTTAACTTTCTGGCCACGCCCTAGCAACCACTTTTGGACCTTAGAAACTGTCCCATAGACTTCCATTCAAAAGACTCTCATTGACTTAACATGGGATCAAACTTTGTGAGCTCATAACTCTGCATCAGACTGTCCACCAGACTAATGGCTGAGCTCATTTAACTTAGACTACCAAACTGCCAATAACTGAAGAGCTTTTAACTTTCTAGCCACACCCTAACTACCAGATACTGCACCCTAGCAACAACAGTCCCATAGACTTTTATTGCAAAATAAAATTGACTTAATGTAATGTAATGTAATGTGTATTTGTATAGCGCATTTATTGTGTATGGCCATACACCCAAAGCGCTTCACAATCATGAGGGGGGTCTCTCCACACCACCACCGGTGTGCAGCATCCACTTGGATGATGCAACGGCAGCCACAGGACAACGGCGCCAGTGCACTCACCACACACCAGCTATTGGTGGAGTGGAGAGACAGTGATAGAGCCAATTCGGTGAAAGGGGATGATTGGGAGGCCATGATCGTAAGGGCCGATAGAGGGACTTTGGCCAGGACACCGGGGTTACACCCCTGCTCTTTCACGAGAAGTGCCATGGGATTTTTAATGACCACAGAGAGTCAGGACCTCGGTTTAACGTCTCATCCGAAAGACGGCGCCCACTGACAGTTTTAGTGTCCCCTTCACTTTTACTGGGGCATTAGGACTCACGCAGACCACAGGTTGAGCGCCCCCTGCTGGCCTCACTAACACCACTTCCAACAGCAACCTGGTGTTCCCTAGTGGTCTCCCATCCAGGTACTGACCAGGCTCAGCCCTGCTTAGCTTCAGTGAGTAACCGGTCTTGGGCTGCATATCACAGGTTTGGTTTTACATAGATTAGATCTTACTAATCTACTAACAATAGATCTAACTTTGTGACCTCAAAACTATCTATCTATCCTTTTTCAAACTGCGTCTATCTATCTATCTATCTATCTATCTATCTATCTATCTATCTATCTATCTATCTATCTATCTATCTATCTATCTATCTATCTATCTATCTATCTATCTATCTATCTATCTATCTGTCTGTCTGTCTGTCTGTCTGTCTGTCTGTCTGTCTGTCTGTCTATCTATCTATCTATCAACTGCTGTAATCTATCTATCTATCTATCTATCTATCTATCTATCTATCTATCTATCTATCTATCTATCTATCTATCTATCTATTTTCAAACTGTTTTAATCTATCAATCTATCTATCTATCTATCTATCTATCTATCTATCTATCTATCTATCTATAAACTGCTGTAATCTATCTGTCTGTCTGTCTGTCTGTCTGTCTGTCTGTCTGTCTGTCTGTCTATCTATCTATCTATCAACTGCTGTAATCTATCTATCTATCTATCTATCTATCTATCTATCTATCTATCTATCTATCTATCTATCTATCTATCTATCTATCTATCTATCTATCTATCTATCTATCTATCTATCTATCAATTTTCAAACTGTTTTAATCTATCTATCTATCTATCTATCTATCTATCTATCTATCTATCTATCTATCTATCTATCTATCTATCTATCTATCTATCTATCTATCTTCAAACTGTTTTAATCTATCTATCTATCTATCTATCTATCTATCTATCTATCTATCTATCTATCTATTTTCAAACTGTTTTAATCTATCTATCTATCTATCTATCTATCTATCTATCTATCTATCTATCTATCTATCTATCTATCTATCTATCTATCTATCTATCTATCTATACTTTTTCAATCTATCTATCTATCTATCTATCTATCTATCTATCTATCTATCTATCTATCTATCTATCTATCTATCTATCTATCTATCTATCTATCTATCTATCTATCTATCTATCATCTTTTCATACTTTTTAAAACTGTTTAAACTAAACAAACTATTTCCAACAGACTTTCTCAAGCCAGCCTAAAGTTTGTCTCGACGAACTTTAATAATCTAGTTAAACTTGCTTTCTTTCGGCTTATTTACTTCTTTTTTTTGATTCAGGTTCAGTCTCTTTATTAATCAGGGGTCACCACGGCAGAATGAATCAACAATTTCTCAGGAAATAGTTTTTCATTGCGGATCACTGTCATAAAAGTTGTCTCTCTAATTCTTTTTCTTTTTGGCTAAGTGCCTTTATTAATGAGGGGTCGCCATAGCGGAATGAACCACCAATTTCTTTAGCAATTGTTTTACGTAGTGAATGCCCTTTTATAAAAGTTTTCTCTCTACAGAACAAACATTATTTATTTTATTTTACGAGTAAAAATCTCCGTTATTTGAAGATGGCACTAGAATTGGCACTTGTGTGACTTCAGGAACTTAAATCAAATAGTTTGATAACATTGACGGACAGTTTGGGTATTTTTACAAGCCTACAAAAACAAAATGACAACACATTTGTATTAAATTGCCCCGCTGTCATAAGGCGTTGTTGGTATTTGACTAGTGGTGACACATATTTAAACTATTTCCCTTCTAGTTATGCTCGTTGGGTTAATCTGGTCAACATGCTCGCTATTGGTCGCGGGAGGCGCATTATGAGGGACGGGCTCTACATCTGCTGGCTCTCTGTCCTATAGAGAGGCTCTGGGGGAGGGAGAGATCCTCCACAAGCGGCCCTGGACTGCCTGTTTATTTACTAGCGGAACGCCTGATTAATTCAGCACGCTGAATATCGACGGCAGGTGCTTAGCGAGAGACTTCAAATGCCCGACGCGAACCGCAAATCCGCGCGGTCTGCCAGTCGTTGAGCACAGTTTTGCCATCGAGTGGCTTTAGTTGGGTTTGTTCGCGACTCAACGAACGGCGGCGGTTGTAAAATAAAATAAAAAAAACAAGCGAAGGAAAGTTGTTTTCGGGGTTATTTTGGATGCCTGGTCGTTTGTTTTCGTAATATGGCTCAGCATGGACACCATCATGTCGCGAGTTCTCAAAAGGCTTTGATGTTGGAGCTGAAAAGTCTCCAGGACGAGCCGGTTGAAGGCTTTAAAATAACTTTAGTCGACGAGTCGGACTTGTACAACTGGGAAGTCGCGATTTTCGGACCCCCAAACACGCACTATGAGGGGGGCTATTTTAAGGTGAGTGACGGCTGACTGGATGTTTTCTTTGTTGTCAGCTGACTAAAGTTTTACACATCGTCATTTGACGTCCTTGTCTGTAAAAAAGAAGATTCGAATTATACCCTAGCTTGTTTTATTGTCTTTGTTTATTGTCTTTGCTGTAAAAATATACATATAATTGGTGTCATTCCCTTTAACGTTAAATGGGGCGAAAGTTCAACTGTTCCAAACCTGTTCAGCTGATTTGATTCCATGGAACACAGAATAAAACATAAGGACAAAAATTTGACCATCAACCATGTTCTTTGTGTTGTCTATAATAAATAATGCTTGGTTCGTAGACGTGGGTGAAAACAGAATTTAAACATTCTCTGTGTCTGTTCCAAGACGAATTTGAGTTCTAAATTTTAAAGGCCAACATTCCAAAATTCGACAGTGCTCTGTTGTTCCTCATTATAGTTTAACGCGTTTCAATGGGACGTTGAGAGAAATAGTTGCTCAAAGTTCAAGTTATTTTAACGATTATAAGCCTTTCCTCTATGGGGCCTGATTAGACTAAAAATAATACGTTTACAAAAACAAATTTGTTCATGCACTGCACAATTCACATTTACAAAATCAAATTTGTAAATTCAAAACAATTAACACATACAGAATTTGTGAATTCACAAGTAAAAATCTTAAATATTTTCACCAAATTAATTGGATTTGTGGTTTGTAAATCATGTTTTGAACTTACTAATTCGATTTGTGTATTATTGAATTGAGTTTTGTATTTATGAATTGGATTTGTGTATTTTTGAATAGTGTTTTTAACTTACCAATTGGATTTGTGAATCGTGATTTGAGCTTACAATTTGTATTTGTGTATTTTTGAATTGTAATTTGAATTTATAAACTGGATTTGTGTATTTTTGATCTGTGTTTTGAACTCGAATTGGATATGTGTATTTTAACAATTGTGTTTTGAACTTAAGAATTTGTTTTGTGTATTTTTAAATTGTTTATTGAACTTATTAATTGGATTTGTGTATTTACGAATCGTGTTTCAAACATACGAACTGAATTTTGTAAATGTGACTTGTGTTGTGGATGTATTATATTGTAAATTTATTATTTTTGTGACTGATCTGGCTCCACATTCCTCAAGATAAACGCCAAATATTCCTGATTCAGACCATAGTTTTACTACAGTACATAAAGGTCTCAAAATCCCTGCTCGTACATTATTGGTCAATTTTATATTACTGTATTAAAACCAGGGTTAGTTTTTATGACCAACTTATCACTCGCCTAAAGTACAAAATGATGTAATATTTGGAGCGATACCTCTTGTGGTGTTATCTGTAAGCAGGAAAACATAAGTCATATTTATCTCTCCATCTGCCAATAGTTTTGTCATGATATAATCCTAGTCCATAAATCTGACCAAATTATCCGCAAAACAGCTTGAATATCAAGCCCAGATTTGATATTCAAGCTGCGCCTTTTGAAAAGACTGAAATAATCCAAAAACATCAACCTACAGAGAAATACATTTTTGCTTTAGCCTATAGCACTTCTCAATCTCTTCTTCTGACAAACCATAACTATAGTATATTCAAGCATAGCATTTTTGAAAAGACCAAAATAATCCAAAACCTTACTCTGAAAGCTTATATAAATAGATTTTACTTTAACTTTTTACTAAATCTCTTCTGTGTCCAAGCAAAGTCACTCTGTCAGGCCAGAACAATGGCAGTTATATTTAGCCTGGCTTCATGGTGATCCCTGTGTGCCATTGGCTTACATGCAGGCCAGCCAACCTCCACACACAGTCATGCCATTAGCAAGTGGCCACTGACCCGCTGGGTACGTTGGCTACTGAAATTCAGCCCCAATTGAACCAAAAGCAAATTTGATGGCGCTATATAAAGTGTCTTCCTTTCGTCTAAGCAGGCATAGCTGTGAAAATCTAATTATCTCCTGTTGTTTTTATTCACTGATGTGTAAAACCGCATCTGTTTGTTGGCGTTGGAGGAAGGAAGCAGGTCAGCCCTGAACCCACTCGCCGTCTCTTCCAACAGGAAGAGATGAGTTACCATGACTTCCTGTACACTACTCTAACAAGTCAGCAACAGACTAGTTTCCCTTCTGCTTTTGGTCTTCTTTAGTAAATTAAGCGTTCATGTTGTTGTTTGGTTAAATGATTATTTACAACAAAACTCTCTCTGTATTGTGTCGTTTAGTTTATTATTTAATGTTATAAATGTTTAACTGTGCTGCTGCAAATTTGTTCATGGGTTTTACTTTTTCTGTCCGCTAAAGTTTATCTGTAAAAGTGCTGATAATTTATTAACACTTTATTATTAAACATAAAATGAATCCTATTTTTTAGACTGGTATTTTATTCAATTATTTCAAATTATTATACATTACATAAATTTTTCTTCGGCTTAGTCCCTTTATTCACCACAGCGGAATGAATTACCAACTTATCAGCATGTGTTTTACACAACGGATTCCCTTCCAGCTGCAGCCCAGTACTGGGAATCACCCGTACACACATTCACACACTTGTGCACAATCATACACTACGGCCAATTCAGTTTATTTAATTCCCCTATAGCGCATGTCTTTGGACTGGGGGAAACTGGAGCACCCAGAGGAAACCCATACGAACACGGGGAGAACATGCAAACTCAACACAGGAACGCCGACTGGCCTAGCTGGAACTGAAACTAGTGACCTGCGATTCAATAGTGCTAACCACTGAGCCACCATGTCACTCTTCTCAGTTGTTCATACCCTTTTTCCGTTTTCACACTTTAAATGAACTTATTTTATGAACTTAATAACATATGATGAATTTTTGTAGTCAGTTTTTACAGAAAAACAACATATTATTAAAAACTGAATTGATCTAATAATACATTCTTCATAAAATCATGTTTTTGGTTATATAAACTTATACTATATTAAACTTATATACTTGTATAAACTTTTTTTGTTTGTTTTCTATGGTTCTGTATACAGAACCAAATGTTCACATCATCATCACATTATGCCCATACTGTACTGTACGCCAGTAATTGACACAAGCTTGTTGGTCTGGGTGATTTGGCCTAAAATCAAAATATCGATTAGTTGAACATTTTAACTTGATTACGATTAATTTATTTATTATTAAACGATTATTTTATTTATTTAATTTGTTTTGCTCTCATAGTTCACTGATAAGTTTTGCACAGTAAAATGAAGGGTGCATCACTTGATTTTAAAGTAATTGAAGTAAACGCGCACTATCTACTGTTTCTTTTTATTGAACATCAGTGTTGAACTAAAATTAAAACAGACACTGCTCTCCGCACCGCACACTGTCATCACTGCTACCAAACCGACCAATCACAAAGCTATGCGTCGGTGTGACGTGGAGTTAAATGTTTTTGTTTTTTTTTAGGTGCGCGGGTATGCGAAGGTAGTATAATATCAGAATAATATAATAAGTATAAATAATAATAATTTAATAAGTATAAATCAGCCTTAACTGAGTGTTTGTTTGTTCTTTTTTTTGTGTCCAGTTGTCAATAACAGCCTGGTCCAATGTTGATCTTGTAGCCAAAATAAGTGGTGTAAATTTCTTTAAACATTTGTGGGTATGTTAAACTGGTATAATGATAAAATTTGTTTGCACATGCCATAAAATGGAGTTCACTATTAAAGTATGTGCAACTGAATGTGTCGCTAACATAGCGGTTCTCAAACCTGCCTTCTTTAACAGCCATGATTTAGATAACCAGCTCATTAGAAGAGGGCTCCAAGAAAGAACCCTGTTCAAATGGACAAGATGCCAAGTACGCCATGATCCTGGATTCACATCTATGTTTATCTTGGAACATCATTTTCGTTCGAAAATGTAATTCATACCTATTCCCTACCCCTAAACCCAACGATAACTGTGTTAATTTTTCCCATTATCAGAGGGGAATAATGGGGTATATGCCGAAGCATGCTAATAGGACTTTTAATTTGCCAGTAACCCGAGTTAAGCGCTTCTGGCGAATTTAATGCCAATGCAAAATCCGGTGCGTTTAAGGTCTGTTTTCTTTAAAAATCAGCGATCTCCACTGGCTGAGTGATATTCGATTTAAAGTGGGTCTCAGATTGTACAAGAATCACTGCATTAAATTACATTTCCCCCGGCAAATCTTTATAATATGAGCATTTATTTTACCCCAGTATATTCAATGGAGCTTCTGCGTGAGCCTGCCGATTCTGACGGGCGCGTGCGAGTAAACAGCTTTTTGTCTCGTTTTACACTTGAGCAACCAAATAAATGCTAAAGTTTATTTAACTGAATGTATTTTAATGACATTACAACATCGATACTGTATAATGAACCGTATAAAATGGAAAAAAGTTCACAATAACAGGTCACCGGAAGTGTATCAGCATGGGAACAGCACTAGTTCGGCATATACCCTATAGTTGGATAACAGTCATGTAGAATGCATAAACCTAACTGTAAGTCTAAACTTAACATAAAAATATCCCTTAATTCTGAATGGCTGATTAGAATGTTGTTCCAGGATCAACATGGATGTTAATCCAGTAACATGTCCAACTTGGTGAAATCAGGTTGGAGTTCCCACCATAGTTTTCACTGCTGGCTACCTCTTGCACATGAGAAAGTCGCTGAAAAAAAAAAAAAAAAAAAAATTACACAGCATTGTTTGTAATGTCAGTCATCTGATGGAATTTACTACAGATGAATATGAACACGCATTTAATACAAAAACTGAAGAACTATAGCTGCGCCGCATGCTTTCCTACTATATATTATGTCGGAAAACAGTATGAGAGTCTAGTACAGGGTGGGCCAATCATGTTCGTGGAGATCTACCTTCCTGCAGATTTCAGTTGCAACCCTTATCAAACACACCTGTCTGTAATTATCAAGTGGATTCCAGGTCCTAATTAATTGGTTCAGGTGGGTTTGATCAGGGTAGGAGCTAAACTGTACAGGAAGGTAGATCTCC